TATATATATATATATATATATATATATATATATATATATATATATATATATCATATATATATATATATATATCTCTCTCTAGTCCATACAGAACGTATTTGTCGCCGAATAGATCACACAGAAGTATAAATCAAATGTATATATATCTGCTTTTCTCTGTCTCCCTCTGCAGTTTTTTTCTCCCTCCCATACCAAAATCACACAATTATCGCTGTGGATCTTTACTTTGACACATTTTTTCACAAAAGTTATTCTTTGTCACCGATTGCTTTGGAATTATTTGTCCTTCTTGATTTCGGCCGCGCCGTATGATGAACCTTTGCTTATCTCCGACATTCCGATGGTTTTGTACATTAGCAGATAAACTGTAATTCGATTTGTGTTTCCGTAAAAATATGATAGTAATTGTGATGTAATGAGATACGCTACTTTAGAAATTTAACTAATTTCTAGCATTATAACGATTACTTTCCAACAATTAAAGGTGCGACAAAGATATAAACTAATGAAGTATTTGAAGGTAATAATACACAACGAGTATAGAAAACTCATATAGAAATATGCGAATACGAAGGGACTACTTACATAGAAGGATAATTGCAACTCCAATGCTGAAGTAGACGGTCGAGCCGGACAAGAAGAGCTTTATAAGGTAATACAGCATTGGTACAAGGACTACTATCGCCCAGAATGTAGTGTTAATGAGGGAGTAGTACCTTCTCTTTAACGTGAACGAGTCTGTCCTAGGCACTCCGCTCGTGGCGAAGAAATCGCCGGTCTTATAAAAGCTCTCCGCCATACGATCCTATTGAGTAAACAGTACTTCTAGCGCTATCGTTTAGCGTTAACTATCGTCTAGCAAAAGTAAACTTGCACGGTGTTAGATTCGATTTAATCTCGCAAATAAACAAGTGGACAACAGTTTCAACGTACTGTCCTCCTTATTATATTAAAATGTTCAAATCGAACAATGCGCAAGTAAAGCAGGGTTATCAACGATTACATATAGCGACCTGACAAATCACTTGAAGCTCCTAATGCAATTAAGCATCTACTTAAACTTGGAAGACATTGAATGTATTGGGTAACCAAGAAAAAAAAACCTAAGCGATTTTGAATATGAATAACACAATACTGGTAAACTGTACAGAGCGTACATTTCTTGAAAGCGAAGCTTCATAAGAGAAAGATCTATTCCCTATTCTCAATTCCTTTTTCCGTGTAAAATTTCTTGAATTATTTATTAATTGCAGAACACTCCGTGTACTTTTATCAAAACCGCATGCATTTTCTGATTGTCCAACGTAATAGAATACACGATTTAATAGATTACCTTCTGCTGATAGAGCTTGTGCAGCCACTCAGCAGCAGCCTCATCTCCTTCTGGCACTTCGTCGATAGGAATTCTTTTGGCATACATATGGCCTTCTAGTCGTTTTCCAAAGAGGAGATTCTTCATGGTCGGCTTTATTGGGTCAGATGGTTTGAATGCCATTTGAATGTCGTAGATAGCTGTCGCTTTGCCTCTCATGTGATTTATACTGGCGGTGAAGCCTTTTGTGCGTGGTGTCAAGTGATATTTCAACACTGGCAGACCTTTCTCTATCGCAAACTTTTGACTGGCTTCCAGTTTCTTTGGGGTAAAACGCGTGCCCTCAGGGTAGAGCAGCAACTATAACCGATTAAAATTCAGTCTTAATAGTTGTTAATATTATACTTTTTAAGGTTTTTTGGTTTATTTTCACAAATACTACTTACTTCTAAAATTTGGCATCGCCTTTTTTCAACATCCTGTATAAAATATGTATATGTAAATATATTTGCATATACATATTTTACAGGAAAATTATAAAACAATATTTGTACACTCACCCACATCGTATCAGGATATTCGACCAATTCTCTAATTTGACCTTTAATATTCTCCTTGTCCTTTTCCCAACTCCTCTCAAGAAAAATGCTCTCTGCAAATTTCCACGCCCATCCCAAAGTGGGAATGTATTGTATCGATTTCTTAGCATATGCTTTACAATTCTGAAAGATAGATATCAAAGAATAAATATTTCAATAATATCTTTGCCAACCATATATACTTTAAGATTACTTACGCCCAATAATCTTACACGATCGCACAGTAGCCAGCCTATCAACCAATCGGCCTCGTAACTGTGATTCATTAAAAGATAGCCATGCTCATTGCCATAATATTTATCAAAGTCCTTTTTATCTATATACAATATAACATCCGACCCTGCCCACCATTCTGCCATGAATACTAACTCTGGTGAAAGAAATAGGTTTTAAGTATGTTAATATCTTTTTTATAAATGTGAAAATATTTTTTATGTAAATATTTTATATGTAAATATTTTTTATAAATTTAGATATCAGATTTATTATATATTAATAATAATATATAAAGAATGACTAAATTTTTGGAGCAACTTTTGATCGATTTGTGAGAAAATTGTTATTTGATAAATATTATTGCAGTTATCATAATTATCAAAGATTGCAGTTATATCGAACGTTTAGATAGAGTGATATTTCTAACTTTAAAAGGAAATAATAACACAGTACTTGTAATTTTATATTTAACACACATTCTTGCGAATTTTTCTCTGAATTCTATCGCAAGTAGTATCTTGGAAAGAGAGTTCCCAGATTTATATTTAAAAATAATCTTTAACATGAATAAAGTATACTCCTAAAATTTAGCTTGTCACTTCAGTAATGTTTTCTAATTAAAGAGAAGAAAACTTACGACAGTAGAAGGAGTAACAAAGATAGTAATTAATCTTGCGATAAAGATACTTCGAAAATGGTCTCAGTCCAAAGTATAAAACACATTGGAAGAAATTTATTATCAAGCCCGATGTAAAAAACGTAATGGCAAACATAAGATGTATAAGCGATGATTGCTTCAAAGATGTGAGCACTGCCATTATGATAAAATATTAGTACTAGGCTGTACACTTTATAGAAGACATAAATATTTGGCTCCTTCACCTGAAACAGAAATATAAAGAAACAGTATAAAAAAATAATATTGCTTACGGAGTTTTCTCGATTCCCCATTTCTCCCAATGTTGTTATATTTATCAATATTTTTGTACTTTCCTATCTCATGAAAATAAAGACATATACTAAAACATTTTTGAAAAGCATCTACAGGATTTAGTAGTGTAATATTAGGCAACTACATGTGTAAGCGTTTACACGAGTGGATAAGCACTTGCCTGAGGGCGAAAGAAATTACTGTAGTGTTGCTATGTATAATTCTCTGATGGCTGCATGTAGTCGCATTAATTGGCCATTAAACTAAGTCACAAGATCAAGCAAGCCTTGACTGACTCAGCAGGTAAATTCATTTGCCAAGTAGTAAATTATAAATAGTAGGCGTTATAATTAAAATAAATATAAACGCATTTGCTGTTTGCGCTTGAGAGCAATATATAATGAAAAGTTGAAGGTTTTTTTGCAAGAAATATGAATAATGTGAGATATAAACTCAACAAAGTGTAAGAAGCAATATATAAATGTAAAAAATGGTTAAATTTAAGAGATCATTTTTCTTGAGATGTTAAAGTTAATAAAGTTTGATTCAAACAGCATTAATATTTTGGAAGGAAGAAGAAATTTGCTTATGCCTAAATTATCAGAAGTCTTAACTGCTGCTGCTAAACAAATATATTATATTAAATTGAAATTTAACAAATATCAATTTATATATCACAACTAACAGCTATTACTATGATAACATTACATATCATTTCCCTTCACCCCTTCAAACAATCCAGATGTCACGTTTATACCTGAAATCAGCAAATACCTTAGGAAAAAGATTATAAGAACTAATAAAAGGTAAGCAGATGGTAAGTACACAAATACATAAAATAATATTTGAAAAATTAAACACATAAAGATTTATAGGCTTTAAGCAGGATATCATGTTGCAAATAACATAATATATGTATATTTTGTACTTGTAATTTCTTGCAAACAACTCAATTTCTATATTTTCTTACTCCGATGTACAAAATTCATAGGGAAATGGAATATACACCTATTTATCATTTTAAATTACAGTATCTATTTGTTCTTACTTTTTATATGATGTATGACTGACAAATTATATAAAACACTCTTTGGTCAGAAGAAAAATTAAATACAATCAAGATATACATGTGTAAATATGCATCGAGTTGTAATCTCATACCAAAGAACTTGCATCACTTTTTCCAATCTTATACTCGTTACCTCAATTCACAGCTTGTACATTCCAACAGAGAGACATAATATAACATGACATACCATAATTATTCTGACTTACACTAGACTATCCTGTAGTACTTCTGTTGACAAGATACACTTGCTGGAAAATTAGCTGGGAAGGGATCTGATCGGCTCGTAAACGTGGACTACAGCTCACCTAATTCAGAGTATCATCTCTGATGTGAGGAAGCGTATTTTGTGCTGTGTGTGCGTCAAGCCGGAGAGGTGGTAGCCTGGAGATCAAAGTGCCAAATTCCAAAGTTCACTAGTGATATGCGTGCGTGTCCCGTCGTCGTTACCGGGTGCCGTTGTTTCTACTACTGCCGATGTTGATGCTGTGTGCAAATCCCTCATCAGGGAAGTCGGGATGCCTTCATATCGTGTGTGGACACGAACAACGATGTGCAGCGAGCGAGCCGCTTGCGGGCTAGGATGTATCGTAAAAGGAATCAATGGGGTTACAAGAGAGCCCGGCGAGTTAACGGGAACAGTCAATTAACGCCTCATTCGGCTGATGTGCCTCTCGAGTCACTATGGCTGCTATATGTATATGCGATGTGAAATGTGCAACGGTGTAGGATGAATGTTCGTGCGTCCGACGTTGTTTGTCTCTTTACGGTATGCATAGCACACTCGACGTCATGTATATTTCATATTTGAATCGGTCGCACTACGTGTGTATATGTGTGTGTTATATCAGAATATTCTTCATCCTCTTGCGCGAGAGCGGTTGCCCTGGACAAAGATGGCGTACGAGTACACGCTGGAGAATTTGTATGCGTGCGCATAAATTTCCTAGACGAGACAATCTAGACAATCTTTAGACTTGATTCGCCCCATATAGGATGAAACGGGTGTCGTCGGTTGGTTGGCAACACCGTGCGACTCTTCGGACCGGAGAATTTAAAAAAATCTGAGCGGGGTTATCTAATGGCAGCGGGAGATCAGTTCTTCGCTGGTCGCGTCGAAAAACAGTCGGCTGCGATCGGCTGCGCTCTCGCTTCGTGCTTTCGCGAGGAGGACAACAACCACGCTCGAGTGAGTAATGTGAGCGATCGCGGCCGAAAACGAAAATCAAATCACTTGTTCGTTCTCATCGATTGATCAACGTCGCGCTAGATCGATTAGAAAAATTCATCTGTTCTTTTTCCAAACGTCTCCTCACGTTTGTAAAAAAGAAACCAAAAACGATTTATTCTTCTCCTTTTTTTCCATATCGATTCGATATACCGCGAATCTCTCTTTATCGCCATATTTTTTCTATCACTCGACTGTCGATCGTTCTTCCGTTTATGCATTTGCGCAACTTTCACCGATGTTCCTTATGCACATCAGAAACAACGCGATCGGATCGCATGCTTGGTATTTGTTTTTGTTGAATCGGGTTCCGCTATCGTTTGAAGATTTCGTGTACTACTTTCGACTGATTCGCAAAACTGCTGTTCGGAAGATCGGTTTAGATGAAAATCAATGCGTCGTCATTTAGATCGACTTATTTTTATTTTTTCCTTTTTTTCAATAATGCTTAATTGAATTTTTATTGAGATGCGCTATATTGAAGATCAAAAAGAAATTCGGCGCGACAATGGAAGCAAATTTTGGGCAGAATTTTTATGAAATCCGTTCCTTTTTTTTGATCATATTGTATTCTCTGTATTTAAAATAAAAAATAAATGCTCGATTCTCTCTTTCTTTCAGTAGATTACTCAATAATATTTCGTTTATTTCTTAAGCAATGTATTTGCTGGAACAAGAAACAGCAGTCTTCTTAGCATTCTATTTATAGTACAATGCACCCTGTTATGAAGAAACATTTCCTGTCCAGCTTAGTGGACTGCACGCATTACATTAGAATCTTAGTCTTTCAATACGTTTGTCCTGAGAAATTTCAAGAAGTTCAAAATTTCGAATTTTTGTTTGACACTTGAACCTTAAAATTTGAACAATTTTAAAATTTACAAATTTTAATAATTCGAATTAAGAAAGTAATTTTAAAAATACCAGAAAAACTGGCACCAGAATTTAAATATTCCAGATTATACAGAACCGAAAAATATTCTTTGATATAACACTCGAAATTCTAGTAATTAAACAAATAATCACGAGTTACAAAATGAAATCTTTAACAATAGAAGAGATTTATGTTTCCGATTTTCTTTTTATTTTTAATTATTAAATCCTTATAGTTTTCTAGATTCGATAACAAAATTAGATAACATAAAGATCAAAGCAACATTAAGTCTTCATGCAAAAAGAAGGTCTTGAGCGATTCCCCTTCACATCAGCACTTATATAAAAGGGCAATACAAATGTATGTATTGCATTTGAAACATGTGGCTTAATGGCTATAATGGGCCACATGGCTCGTTGGAAGAATGTTCATCTGTATGCCTATAAATAGCTACACACATTTCACCCTTTCATCACCTCCATATACTGAAGAAAGGTTTCGAGTTCCATTGCAGCCTGAGAGATCCTACTTTGCTACCAAAGGAAAACTCGTTCTGCGAAGAGACGCTTTACTTCGTCTTTAAGTAATTAAATTCCATTGAAATTATGATAAATATGGTATATTAGGTATCACTTAGAATAAATAGAATAATATTTAATAGAATAATAAAAAATATCAATGTAAAATTTAACGCGTTCAAAAAAAAAAAAATTGCATTTAAAATATTAATGAGTAATCCACTAATTTAATTAAATAATTAGTATTTAATTAATTAATTAATTAGTAAATTGAAGCACACTCATAGCAGAAGACACAGAACATATAACACTATAATCTTTGAGCGGCTACTATTAACGTACGAGAATAATTTATTGCGAGTGATGATTTCCCCCTATAGTCTTTCTCTCTCTTTCTCTGCGGGGTCATCGTGAATGACCTGCGTATTCTTATCTCGATGGCAGTGTATTCAATTAGAAGTCCCGAAGAGAAAGATACTTTGTAGCTTATAGAAATAGTGATGTTTTTGTTTATTACCTCTATGTCATGGGCTTCCCGTTGTTCCTTTGATTCTCAGCAAATTATATCGGATTCAAGTGACATCGGGCTAAACTCTTCGACTAACGTAACACTGTGTCAAAACAGCATTGCGGAATATAGATCAACTCTGCCATAGATTCAAAAAAACAAGAACAATGAAAGTGCCTGTCTTCTTAGTGCTTCTTTATTGTCTTTGCATCGATGTTAGTCATACTAGGGAGATCACGTAAGTAATTCATCCAATCTGTAAGCTTATATGTTCAATAGTTGACTGTTCAAACATACTTCTCTTTCTCCAAAAATCAAAACCAAATTCCAAAACTTCCACTTTAGATACAATTAAGTGTATTCCATCCTATAAATGATTGCATTGATATTTTTATAGTCACGAGGATATAAAAGATGCTATGTTGAGTTTGGTGCATATGATGCGAGAAAATACAGAGAAGCTGGAAAGGCACGAGGCGAGAGAGCGGCAACTGGGCGAGCAACTAAAGAAGACTATAACCGTACTAGTAAAGCGTGTGAGCGCAGTGGATGGTCTGAAGATGCAGCTGACCAAGTTGGATGGGAAGATCTCAGGAATAGAACAACTAATTGCACAGGTAATCACTCAATGTCTTAGCGCAAAACGTGGCGGATCCCTTTAGGTCTTGACGATGTTTCTTCTTCGCGCAGAGAGATGAAAGAGAGCGTATACAGATGCAGAAAACGGCGGACAGTCTGGAGGATCTGGAGAGCCGTCTGGAAGCCTGGCTCACTGAAATTGAAAACAAAGTGGCAGAGGTGAGCAATCGACCTGAGACGACGCCGGCGCCAAACAATAATCTCGTCGACATTCTTGGCAAACTGAATAGCACCGAGAGCAACTTAATAGAGGAAATGACAAGATTGAAGGAAGGTTTACACGATAACACAGCAAAGAGAGAGAAAGATTCGAACGCGTTGATGGAAAAGACGCGGAAAACCTTTTCAGAGGTAATCTATTTGTACGATGAAAATGATGAAAACCTATTTGATGCAAACAGAGGAGACAAAGAGAATACGAATTTGCCGAACAGGTTCAGGATGTAGCCGCTAAGATTGGGGATATCGAGATCTCTCTGGAGAGGATAAAGCAGATAACACAAACTATCCAAGAGAAACCGGCGGAGCAACAGGATCCGATTCCGACGGTCGATGAGCACTTAAGGACCCTGGTACGAGTGCAGGAGTTATTAGAGGATACTTCCTACAGGATACAGGAATTACCTAGGTAATATTAGACTCGGATTTTTCAACTAACAATCCGAATTAACATAGTCACCGGAAAGAAGGAATTGTTTGAAACTAATCACAAACTTGTGGTATGTAGGATAAATAACATACAAACATTGCATAATGAGACGCAGACCATGTTGCAAGAAGCAAAGCACGCCTTAAAGGATATTGTTACACGAGGCATAGATCATATTACAGACGGAGTAAAAGAAGCCAAAGAAGAGACAAAGAATGCTGTGTCTGCATTAAGGTAAATTCTAATTGTTATTTCTAAAATCTCGACAAAGCTATACTATCATTTCTTATCTATATTAAATTTGATATTTGATATTTCTCATAAACTGTCTTCCACGATACAGGATGGATCTGGCTAACAACGCAGAGCGCGTTAATCATGAACTGCAGGATCTGAGCAAGGGCCAATCTGTAATGGTCTCGATGGCCGATCACGTGTTGGACACGAAAAAGAGAGTGGAATACGGCGTGCATCAGATCCTGTTAGAAGTGGGCGACTTAGTGAAGACCCAGGGCAACAACATTAATAGTACTCTCAACCAGAGATTCGATGGAATCTCCAGTGATATTATGGACAACCAGAACGGTGCACTGGCGAATCTCACTAGCAAAATGGAGCAGGAAATGAACAAGGTAAATGAACTTAGTGGTGAACTATTGCTTAAGGAGATATATCCGTTATTGTTTTTGTTATAGGTCTGGAGACAGATCAACGTTATGTATCAGCAGATGACGGAGAGCGCCCGAGCTTTGGACAAGCTGCATCAACAAAACGAAGCATACGTTAATGGTACCACGTCCACCATGGGTGGAATGGAAAGCAAGGTAATTAACTATCTATCTAACATACAGGTTTATTAGACTCTTGTCTAATTTTTAAGAAGAAGCTAATTGTCCGACACTTTGCAGGTCGGCGAGATAACGAAGCGCATGAGGGAGGTGGATGAGAATTTGAATTACCTGCTCGGTCGGCTGTCCCTGGTGACGCAGGAGTTCAACCAGATCAAGACCGGCTTAGGAGCTGCCCTGGATAACATCAAAGCCTCTTTCAAAGTGGTACAGCAGAAGGCGTTGGATTTGAGCCACCCTGGTCCGCATCCTCTTCCGGAAAATTACAACGTTGACTTAAAGGAACCCGAAACTAGGAAGCCGGATGGTAAGACTCCGGTGGACTTCCTGAGTCATCTGAGTAACGTGCCTTCCAACTGATCCCAGGACCTCTAGAACCTTCCAATTAATTGCATTTATGCATGCGATATAAAGTTTTATAAGCATATGAAAATTCTTTGGTAACCTGATTTTTATGATCCTCTACAGTCAATAGATGAACATTCTTTCTTTCAACGATATTTTAGGCGTACTCTATCCTGTCCATCTTCTCATGGTGTAAACTGTTTGTTCTAGTTGTGACTGTAAAGTAAACCATATCTGAATGTCAAGTCAAGCGGCTGCTGACTTGAGTTAGTCTCAGTAACTGGAGAAGGTAGCCATCTCTTCATTCTTAGCAAATTAACGTTCAGCAGCATCATCTTCATCATCATCATTATTATCATAATAATCATCATTGGAGACTCTGGATCGCAATACATGGTGAATCCTTGTTGAATATATCGAGGTTCTGAATCGCCTTAATTTTTCTCACTCATTGTTTGAGAATTTTCTGTGCAAAAATTGACAAACCAATTACACAATGAATTAATATTTGTTACAGTATAGTATGTTACATCTGTAAGAATATAATCAATAGACTGTGGATGTTCATGCAAGTATGTGTGTCTTTATGGAAAATATGTAAAAAACTTACTTTCCTGTGTAGTACTTGGATAAATATCTTCAGCTTGATAATTAGTATATTAGATACATATTAACTCTCAATAATTCACTTCGATACTTCTACGCATAGAAGAGGCAGGATACTACGTTATTAAGATATCGTAGGTGTTAGTCGAATGTTATATTTCTATCGCCGCTAGCTATAACGAAATAAATAAAACAGCTACAAAAGAAAAAGATCTAGAATATATGAGAGAAAGTGACCTCTGTCATGAGAAATATACAAAATTCCTGTTAATTTCGTCGTACTCGTGAAAAAATCATTGAATTCAATTTGTATCAATTGCTCACAGATTTACATCAATTTCTTATAATTGATATGTGCCATTATTGTGGAATTGCGTTATCTCATGTGTGTCCTATTCTCGCTTATATAAATCTTACATATATATTTTATCGTATACTATATAGGATATTCACAGCTGGTAGTATATACAAGATAATCAATGCGCCACATTCGTGTTGTAACAGTTCTTTATTTCTAAACGGTAGAAAATATTTTTACTTACGCAAGAGTGCAAAGAGGGGACTGACGGAGCCTGCATGCGTTGCAATAATTAGATCCGCGTTCGCTGCGCAAGCGGAAGCCTACGCCTGGAAAAATGAATTTCTTTTCTCTCACGCTGGTAATTCAATTTTGGCAAAATACAACAAGTGATTGTAATTTTTATAGCTTTATACAACGCATCAAAAGGAACTCGAGTTCCAAGGATCCAAACTTTTAGAGACTCGAAGTCCCAAGATTTACAAAGATTCGTAAAGATACAAAAGAGAATCAAGTTTTCTAAGATCTTTTCCATCGTTGAAAAGATTTGAAAATCGTGGAACCAAAGTCTCAACGTTCTCAATGCCCGAGTTGTCTAACTGTAATATTCCAACAAAAACTACTAAAACCTAAAATTTCGCGAGTCCAAACTCAAAAACATGAATATTACGAGAATTTAAATTACAAAAGTTCGCGCGCGTGACGAAATTAATTGAAAAAAAAAAAAAATACATCAGAACGGATAAAATTCTAGCTGTAAAAATTTGTCTTTCCTTTTATATTTTAAAATATCGAAAGAACCAAGATTAACGGCGAATCATAACGAATCCGAGCAAAGAAGATCCGCGAAGTTCGTGGAACTACTAAGTTCTGGATGCTCTCCGGATCGCGCGCTGAATATATATAACGTACTCCCCTAATCTCTCTCAAGAACGCAGTCTCGTCTTGAGTTCGGCAAAACGTTATTGTTAATATTTACAATATGCGTGTGTACAGATTAAAACGCTACCGTCTCGCCTTAAACCACGAACTTGGTACGCTGGTTATTGAACCTATATAAGTCACGCGCTCACGAGGGTACGCGCAAGGACGAGGGGACCGTGGAGAGGATCGAAGATCGCCTTTGTGCATATGTGTGTGAGCCTTTCTCCTCGACTCCCCTCAGCTACTTGTGTTTTTTGCGTATGTTCGTAGGAGCGATCGTACGTACGGCAATCTCGATGGTGTATCATTACATTACATTACAGTACATTACATTATATTATACTTTGAGCTCTGATAATATTTTTTTCATTTTTTTGTTTAAGCTATGTGAACTGTATAGATAGAGACGTACTTTACATTAAAGCATAGGTCCATTTAATCACGTAATGGACGACGACGCGTTCTTTTTTTTTCTTTTGCACGCCTATGTACGTTGAAGATTAACAACTAAACAACGACAACGCCTGCTCTGCCTGTTCGCTTGCCTGCCCATTTCGACGACACGCTGTGGCAAGCTCGTAGTAAGCTTCAGTTTAATAACATCGTGTGAGTAATTAGCTCTCTGTCGATTCGTCACGAAGATCACGTCGATCCGACTCCTTCCTTCCGAGAGACTTTAGGAACGATAAGAAAAATATAGACATTATGTTTCAACACAATACAAGCGTTGTTTAAACACACAAAAATCCGCGGATTATAACGAAGTTTTAAAAAATTGAAATAAACATCTCGTTGACTAAAAGCGATTTCTGTCTTATTTAAATTGCACGTTACAACACATCTCAATCATTAAAATATATCTCCAAGAATCAGAGAGTGAATCTTTTCTTTTTTTAACTACGGCCAAGAATTACAAGAGACTAGAATTTCTTTCACACTTCTAAGAGGTCAAGAAAGATTTTAAGACTTTTCGCGAAACCGACGCTGCTGTCTTCGTGACGATCCTACATTACAATTCACCGCAGTGCTGGATCCTTTAAAACGACGCCTTACACCCTTATGACCTCCAGAACAAGTGGTCTTTTAGCAGATAAAGGTCAATTGCACCGACAGCCGTAAATAATAAATTTCGATTTAGTTATTTTTGTTCGTGAAGAATTTAAAGATTCACTGCAACCGACAATCTAACCCATCTCGTTATAAGATTCAGTCGTTTTAGTCAAACAAAATTAAATTACATTTTATGTCTTTTCTCAAACTGAAAGTTAATTTTTCTTCTTAAAAAAATTAATAAAGAATACAAATTATTAGTCGACGTTAACTTTGATTTGATATTGTGTGTGTGTATGTTAGAATATATATATATTTTTTTTCTTTTTTATATATATATATATATATATTATATAAATTTTTTAAATTCACAAAATTCCACTTTTTTAATTAAATAAAACAGCTCCGATTTGACAACTTATTTAAATAGCTACACAGGGGTAACTTGAATTTACTCTACAATACATAGCATTTGTAGAATAGTAAAAACAATAATAAACATAAATTTGCACAATTTTTAAAAGAATTTTAATATTGAAAAATAAAGAAATGTTAGGATATGTCTTCTAGACTTGAAAAAATATATATATGTATAGTATACATATGTATATATAACAGATTTATAATTACAAATATAAAATAACGAAGGTGATGTTGATGCAACCGACCTCTCCAAGTATCTAATAACGTTACCTTAATTATGACGCGCTATAGTCCACGTAGAATGCAATCGCGTTACGTACCCATGGTGATGTAACATACGTTGTAATTTTAGTGGAGACGCGCACAGCAGTAGAGAATCGCCAAACTTTCCCTATATATGTATATGTACACCCCCAATGCGATGGAAACGTCATTGTTCGTGCGAGCAATTAGATTTAGCTCCTAATTATTTAAAGCGATGAGTTAGAAAGTTCGCAACGCGTACCTCACGCTCTCTCACTCCTCTTACTCTCTTTCTTTTTATTCTCTTACCCTTTTTTCGTCTCTATGTTTTGGGACAGCTCAATGATAGCCGAGTGTAAAAAAGGATGCGAGTCCTCGCACGGCTGCTCGTGTCCATTAACTTCGTTTATACAAAAGGGTCTTCTAAATAAAGCTACGTAAATTCGGAGTATTGGACGAGTTACCGGAATGCATAGATTCGTTCTTCCTTTTTCTCTCTTTCTCTCCAATTGCTTTCCACAGAGTGTGCTTTTCCCGCTTTCTTCTTTCTTCAAGAGCGAGGCGGAAGAGCGCTGGATACTCGCATTTAATTCGTTTTATTTACGTGCGACGCGTGCAATACGCGTGTTCGCCGTGGCAGTTTTTTTCCGCTTCTCCTTTTCTCTATCTCCTATATATCTTCGTTTTTTTATTATTATTATTCATGTGATATACCAGATGTCCCGCGCGATCAACGCGAGCCAGAAAACCGAGAATGAAGGAACGAATGGGGCATTCTGAGTTGTTGCAAAGGTTCCGGCTTCCGTGGATAACGAGTCCCCAGGTCTTGGGGTTTCCATGTTCTCCCGGCACCCGAGGAAACTCACAATGCCCATGATCGTAGGTCCTGGATCTTCGGGTATTGAATCCAGACTTTTAACGATCCGTTTAATACGGTCATTTAAGCAGTAGGTTTCGTTAAAATCCGAATTAATCCGTGCTACAAGAACAAAACAACACGCGATTCTTCGAGATCCTTCGAGTTTCTGGCTCTACGGAGAACTTGTGCAACAACCCCAACTGCTCGTCCGTCACTCGAACAAGAAGGAACATCCTTGCGGAATGACATCAGAGACATGAACAAAACCCAGTTAGCACACGCGCACACGCACAGAATTCGTGAACGATGTGCGCTCTGGTGTGTCCACTTGCTCATCGAAGGTGCGCTTGATTACTGCTGCTTCTTGCCGAGCGATAGTTGGATCCGCGAGGTATCCGGCTCATTCTTCCTCAATGGATTGTACTCTTAGAAGTTGACTAGGGCTTGAAGCGGCTGCTAGCTTGAGTCGCTCGAGGTGGACGCGCGCGGCTGACGCTTGCCACGCCTTCGGGGGTGCGAGTGGTCCTAGCTGCTGGTAGAGGCGATGGGGCTGACCGGGCTAAGAGGGCTACGCCCGGAGTCCCTCAGGACGCCGGTCAGCGTCACCACCAACTTACGGCTACCAGCTTGGTTCCGGTGCTCACAGAGCCAGATACCCTGCCACGTGCCTAGTGCCAGCTTGCCATCCGTAATTGGGATGCTTAGGGAGGAGCCTAAGAAGCAGGCCTTTACATGTGCTGGCTGTGAAACATTACCAGAAATAATCAATTATATTTTTCACTGGTGCAAATTATCACAAGTAACAAATTAACAACATATCCTGTTTCCTCAGAAATAAAATTGTAGAAACTTTTAGATCTTAAAATTTTAAGTTTGTAATATAACTCTGTTAAGCAGTAAAAATACAATAAAAAGAAATATCTTTAGATATTTTCAGTTTACCATATCATCGGGCCCTTCGCAGCTATGCCTATACTCCAATCCCTCAGGAACTATTTTATTAAGCATCATCTCCATATCGTCTCTCACATCTGGATCCCAACTCTCATTTAATGCTAAACTAGCCGAGGTATGGAGAACTATGGGAAAATATTAATTTCGTGTTGATTAATTGCCACCCAAAGAATTTCTTATTATCTTATATATACATACATATTTGTCCTAACTTTATTACTATCATATATATAAATAAACCAGATGTTTATAAAAAAGAGAGAAACTAATAAGATAGAAATCTGAAACAAATGATCGTTTCTTTCTAACACTATCAACTGCATCGGAACCTAAATACTTCTCATGATCTTCAAATTGCTTCTTCGCAAACAATATTTGAGCAATTTTGTTGATCCACATAATAGAAAAGAACATTGCAAGTACATTGTATTTACTAATTCTCAGTCATTTAGTTATTAATAGTAGGTTAGCAAGTGACACGGTTCTACTTACTTTGAACATGGCAAAGGCCAACGGAAAATTGGCAGAGCTCTGGGACCTGCCTAAGGATTTCCTCGGTGACGAGATGAACACCTCGGTGCTGTGGCCTGAGGTTGATCTTGGTCTGAAACCAGCCGGAGCCGATCTGGATGCCGCGGTTGGAGGAGGCCATGTCTGCGCGGGGGCGAACTGTGCAAGGCAAACGGGCGAGAGGGGTAGGCGCGGAAGAGAGGATTCGAACAGCTCCTGGCACACTGGTATGCGGTAGAACAGCGCGACGAGCTATTCCGGGTGGCCGACGAAAAGCTCCATTCGACGACGGTCACAGGTAGTCCATCGTGCACGCCGCTAACTGATCTACCGAGCGCTCGAGATACGAAAGAAGGTTAGGTGAGAGAGACAGACAGATACAGAAGGAAAGAGAGAGAAAGAAAAGGGATAACGATTCGGCCGTTTGGCGCGGTGCGGCGCGCGCGACACAGTGTGCACGCACGTACGTAACGCGTGTAATACATGTAACGCACGCATTTACGCACGCATTCACAGGTAACGCACCTCGTCACTGGCACACCACTCACCTACACGCAGCGGTCGACAGCGGACATTAACGGACGGCGGACTCGGAGCAGCGCATCGCGAGACCGCGAGAACGATAGGCTTGAAAGGGGCGGACAGCGTGCGGCGTGGGACGGCGGCCGCATGTGCCGTACCTGCCGTGCGCTAGCCCTTGGCGAGCGATTGCAAATGGCGGCGGCGTGCACGACACCGCGTCCGCAATCGCGACGCAACGCGCATGCGCGCGCGTCAGCGTACAACATTAACTCAAGGGCGCGACTTATGAAGGATTTACACCGCGATCTTCGACGTTTCCGCGACAGTGGACGTCCAATAGGAAAATCCGTAATCTAGAGAAATGTCTCCCGAAGAAAAACGCGCTAGCTACAGTCTCTAGAAAATGCACATTCTCTCATTGGTTATTAAAACCTGATAAAAGTCTCGCAGAAAGAGATAATAGGCAAGCGCGTTGAAAGCTTTGTGCAATTTCTGTCAAAAGTTTGCTGGGTCTTTTTATAGAACATAAAATAAATCTTTTTATCGGATTACATTAAGAGTTTTAATATTGGTAGAGTTCAGTGTTCTAAATGTATTTTAATTTTCTATGATAATAAGTAATTTACTTATTCGTCTACTTGCACTTCCAGCACTCTTCATTTTAGGAATATATTGTTGAAGTGTCAAAGAAATAACGAAATCAAGTGCAGAAAGTACAGTTTACACGTCATTGTCGTAGTCTATTGTCGTCATCTCTGTGGAGTTCATGTCGATTGAAAGATAACGATTACTGCTCGTAAAATACGCTTGACACATAGTGGACACTTGTAAATATTATATAACATTATTCTAACAAGTTGGCATTGCATTCTATGTTACTTGTCATCGATAACCAACAACATTGTACGTGATTTCTTATCTTTTGAGGTTAAATCTGGCTTCTTGTCACCACGGGCGCGGAACAATCAGCTATGTCCATCTCTCAGATGGAGAGTATCCTTTTAATTGTTTATACATTAAAATTCTTCTTATGCTTGCTTTATTTATGTAAAATTTCGATTCAAGTAGAATTTGTCAAAGTATTCTAAACTGTACATATTATCAACTTCAAACTGATTTTCCAAGGTATATATTTTGCCTAACTTGTACAGAACAATAGAATTGCATTTCCCTTTCAGTTTCAAAACATAAAATTTTAAATTGCCACAGTGAGAATGGAGAATTATTTTCCTTGACAATTAAACATAGAGAATTTATTCAATTTGAAGTTTGCAGTGAAGGAGTTAGAGAGGAATTCGAAAAAATGCGAGAAAGAGGAAAAAGTGGAGAAGGCTAAGGTCAAGAAAGCGATACAGAAGGGTAACATGGAGGGTGCTCGTATCCACGCAGAAAATGCAATTCGGCAGAAAAACCAAGCCTTGAATTATCTTAGGATGAGCGCCAGAGTGGATGCAGTAGCCAGTAGAGTACAGACTGCATTGACAACTCGCAAGGTGACTCAATCTATGGCTGGTGTCGTCAAAGCTATGGATGCAGCTATGAAATCAATGAATTTGGAAAAAATCTCAGGACTAATGGACAAATTTGAGAGCCAGTTTGAAGATCTAGATGTGCAGAGTTCATACATGGAAAATGCAATGTCGCAAACCACAACTACTAATGTACCTCAGAATGATGTAGATACTTTAATGCAGCAAGTTGCAGATGAAGCTGGGTAAATATATCGTACTCTCTTGATGTTTTTAATTCTTTTAATCATTAGTATTTCTGTATTGAGTGAGTTTAAATTTTAACTGATTTTATTTGCTTATAGACTGGAGTTAAATATGGAATTACCATCTGGTCAAATGGGCAGTATTGGCACTTCAACAGCAGTCAGCCAAGAGCAGGATGAGCTGACACAAAGATTGGCACGACTCAGGGAGTAATAGCACACTACTTCAATGTATCCATTAATATATTCTTTAATGTATATTTTGTTATTCAGATAGTTTATAAAGTATATAATTGCTGATTGCTATATAACTACACTATATTTTATCTGGTTTGTAAACCTGGATACTAGAGTTGAGGTAAATGAAAAAGATATAAAAAATCTTTAGATTTATAGTAATTTAATAGTTCACATGCACCACATACCAGGGCTTTAATAAGATACTAAAAAAGTTGCTTCAATTATTATACTGAAGATCTTTGGAGTAAAGAATCTTTAGATGGTTGGTTTTCCTTATTTTGCAGTTCAAAATTCTCATATTTTGAAGTTTTGATAGGACCATCAATATAAGACAGTATTCATATTAAAATGAGTTTAAATTATTACCTATTTTATTGAGGTATGACTGAGATTTCTGATATTTATTTTTCTAAACAAAATTGGAAAAAATCAATTCTCAATTAACTTTATTGATCAGTTTTATGATATATTATTTTTTAAATTTTGAATCTACATTTAAAGAGCTTTGTACTAATGTACTTTAATTACGAAATGTTAACTCGCAAAAAATGCTGTAAAGCTATGTATTGATTAACTTTAGTTTTGTGATCAACTTGTTAAATTTTGTACTAACATAGAAAGAACAAAATACAAATACGTTAGATGCTTTCTGCTGTTGTACACATTTACACATAATAATAAATATTAGATAAAATTTGTAATACGCCTTTCATATATATATATATATATATATATTGTTAGACGCTTCTTGGAACATAAATAAGATCATAGATAAATGACTGATCTCTTTTAGCAATGACGTACATACTCTCACGAGATGAAAATTACATCATTATTCGGATCACGAAGTAGATGAATCACAGATATGCAGTCTATGGTCTATTCTTTTCAGCTGCACTGCTAAACTGGTGCAGTAAGTTATGGAGGATTGCGTCCGATGACCGACGTACGACGTATGATATCCAATAGGAAAACAGCTTTCCAATGAAGAATTGAATTCTCTATTAGAAAGCTATTTTCTTATTGGATGTAGGACGTCGTACATCGGATATTGGACGCGGTGTGAATTCTGCATTAGAGTGAGAAAAAAATATACTTGTCTCACTTTAATTTATTGCACCAGTTCAGTAGTTAGCTGAAAAGAACAGATCACTAATAAAATGCTTGTGGTGTTTCTCTAAGGGTGCGTTCAGATTCCCTACCCGGGTGCACTCTATTACTAGAAACACTATAGTATATGTTACATATACTATAGCACTTCTAGTATTAGAGTGCACCCGGGTAGGGAATCTGAACGTACCCTAAATAGGTTTGTCGAGTTACTTGTACTATTCACACTTTTACACCTAATGCCCGTTGCACACTAGTGCACCTCATACAACTTGATCCCAAGCAAGAGTGAAAAGTGTATCAGAATATTGTATTTACACTCGTAACACGAACGTAAAACATGATGCTATTTTTAGAACCTCTAAAGAATTAATGTGCACTAAGTGTGAAAGTGTAAAAAGTTCAATTAATGCGAATAAACTTATTGGACATTAGCTATTTTCAGACAATTCACACCTTCAAAGAACGTCCTAAGAATACTCTGATGACGTCCCTTCGTCCTGAAAATGTCTTCAGAATGTATTTTGGAAAATTTGTGTTGTTTGAGGTGCACTAGTGTGCAACGGGCATTAGATGTAAAAGTGTGAATAGTACAAGTAACTCGACAAACCTAATATCTCGAGGCAGAAGTTACTAAAGATAGAACCATAAATAAAATGGAATATAGACATTGGTTGCGAAAAAACAGTAATAGTGATAATAGTTTAGTGATTATTATCTGTGATTAGAGCATTCTTTTAGGTTTTTATACATCTAGAAGTTTATACTAATCAAGAGTGATAATCGCTAAACGCTCCCTAAATCACTCTTTCTTCTGAATGTAACTATTGTGCTGTATAGTGCACTGTCTCTGTCAGCTATAAAATATCTCTTTTATAGATACTAGAATAATACATGCGCGCGCTACACGCGTGCCATATAGCTGATAAAAAACAATAAAAAATGTAAAATAAAAATTAAATAAAAATTAAATTAAATTAAATTATAATTTTAATTAAATTAAATTAAAATATACTTTAATTAATTAATAATTATAGTGAGAGACAGAGAGAGACAGAGAGACACAGGCAGAGACAGGAGAGGGTGGGAGAGACAGGGATGAGATAGTCAGGGACAGGAGGGGGAGGGAGAGACAGTGAGAAACAGGGAGAGACATATCTCTTCTGTATTTTTTTTCGTGACCTACCAATAACGCGATGACAGCTATTTGCCTAGTAATTTGACAGGTGCAAACGACATGAAGCAAGCCGCAGCCCACATGAAGTGAGCTAAGCGAGAAAACCAATCAGCATCGCAGAAAAGCGGCAACAATCAAATCTCTTACATGCTTTTTTTTAGAGAGGAACATTTCTATTATTCTTATCGCGAGAGCGATTTTTATTTGTATCAAAACTTATCGTTGAAAATTTCTTTTATTTTATTCGCTATTATAAGTTAAGTTGCGTTCCGAAATTCACTGCCAGTGCTGAAATTCTATGATATACGTTCTATGGCCGGTATTCATAGTCGAATCTTATTTCAAGATCGTCTTAAGTAATGTCTTAAGATGCGAATACGGCTCTGTGATTGGTTCATGACATCTTAAGATAGTACTTAAGTTGATCTTAAATATAAGATCTGACTATGAATATCGGCCTATGAGTTCATTTTTATGAGTTCTATTCTATGAGTTACATCAACTATAGATTTTCAGTATTGGCAGTGAATTTCGGAATAGAGCCAGTCGTTGGATACAATATGGATTTTACATAAGCTTTTAACGCGCGAAACGTACCCGATGACATTCGAATTGGTAATCGAGAAAGAGGAAAGACAAGAACGTGAAAATGAACGAAAACCTACTGCGGCGGATAAAAAACAGATTGAATGCAAAGTTTTACGTGATGAATGACTCATGGCTAAGAGAATGTCTCGAATTCTTTATTGAAGACAAAGCCCCTCATGAAGTATGTTACAAATTGTATTGTTATTTTTGTTGTCATTAATAATTCAGATTATAAAACACGTTTTTAATAATAAATTGTAAAAAGTGCAGAGTAGTTGTTTCTTTGATCTGAATGTTTTTCGAATATTAACACAATATCACTCTAGGTAACCGATAAACACATTTTGGAATTTGTGGAGAGCCAGTGGCAATTGAGTGACCTACGTGAAATAAGCAATGAAAACGGATGTCTCCCAAGGAATCTGGTACAGCAGGTGTGCACTGTGTTAACTGGTACTTATATTCTCCAGGTGAGCTTGAAGGAAGACCTAGCTATTTCATAATCCTGGCTTCAGGGATTCAAATATTATGCATCAAGATTGTCCAATATGAACATAGGTTGACAAGATGTATGACATAGCAAGTTCCAAGTACAAGCAGCTATGTCATATTCGGAAAGTCAATAGTGATAATTTAGAAATAACAGAGAATGAGAAACTAAATGAATGGGAACCAAAAGGCAGAAGAATGATGCAGTTATGCCTCACAGATGGAGTGCAGGATATTACAGCAATAGAATATACTCCACTTAAACAAGTAATGGTAAGATTTTACTGTGACACGTTTTATTATAGAAATTTAGATTTTTATTTGATCCTTTTCCAATTATTTATATAATATTTATTCTACAAGTATTTTGCAGGGTACATTACTTCCTGGCTACAAGGTGATGATAATTGGTCCAGTTAATTGTAGACGTGGTATTATATTGCTGGAAGAAAACAAATACAGAGAAATTGGTGGAGAAGTTGAATCTATGTTGAAACCCAATGCACTAGAGAATGTCTTATCTAGAGCTCTGTAAGACTATATCATTTTTTTTATCAGTTTTCCTTAATTTTCTTTGAATATAAATATATTCAATTACAGCTGAATATATTTCATTCAGAAATTTTGTAGACAATTAGCTTTATAATTTTAGCTCATTCAGTTATACTCTTCAGAGATGAGCCAGAGAATCCTGACCCATATCATGACAATGGACTAATCAAGAATCAAAATAATCAGGACCTGTCGTCAAATCCTACCAATGAAGACAATTTCTTCGACGACGATTTTGAGGAAGCTGTTGATTTGGAAGCAGTAACTGAGATTGAACGGCAAAGCAGTCAAGAAGCAGTTAGAACTGTTCAAAATTGCCCTACAAACACTAGGGAGCAAAGACAGAACACTCAAACAGTCGGGAACGATACCGCGGAAGAATTTTTGGAGGATATCGATTTTGAACCTTTAGAGGATTGGTGGGTATAGACTTGATTGCTTTTAATTTTATATTAATCGCAATAGATATCTATCTTTTAATATAAATTTATTATATAATAATGTAATCAAATACAATAATTATGTTATTGTATTTATTATTCTCTATTCTCATTATACTAAATGATCATTCTAGGTCCAGTGAAGATGCTCGTATAAGACCCTTGCGAGTATTGCCATCGTCGCGAGTAAAAACTGGAGGTTTTGAAGAGGAGGACGACTTAATGATAATTGAGGAAACATCAATTTCTGCACAAAATTCTCGAAACGAGCCGTCATTTCCCGCGAAGTCTTGTAAGAATGAGGATATCACGGATTTTCCTGATGATGATTTCGATTTCAATGACTGCGAGATAATAGTTAACACAGAATCGAAAGCTATTTGTCAAGAACAAAGTGGAAATTCTTTCAATATTAAGAGTAAAACTGGAGTATGTTCTTCGCTAGGAATATCTAGGCCGAGATTGATGAATGATGTCACAATGGAAGTTGAGAAATGTACTTCCGTGGAAGTTTTGACTACGCGAAACGAGAAATCTATGGTATTATATTTAGATAGATAATCTCTGTTTTATGTGTCGAAGATGCCATTATCATTTGAGAAATTTCATAATTTGTCTAATTAAAACTGCTCGTTCTTCATTCACGTAAGTTTATTTTTGTTAAAGGCGAGTACTTCGACATTCGTTCAGAAAATACCAAAAACGAAAACGATTACAGACTTTTTCGTTCCTCCGTCTCCTCCAAAAATTTATGTTCTGAGCGATGTACTCCGCGAAAATGTCACGGGAACAATATACAGGACCGTAAGGGCCCATGTGACGAATCATTCGACGTTAACTAAGCAAGGTAAATGCTGGGCGGTGACGGCACAGATCACGGATAATACTTCCAGCGTAGAAGTCTGTTTCGATTCCGAGGTATGTTAGAAAGAAAAATACTCTTAAGATTCTTTTGGTCTAACTGCGACCAAGTTTTCGAGTCTTTTTTCATATATCTTGAAACTTCATAAATTTAATGTACTGAAATGTTTCAGATTTTAGAGAAATTTCTCGGATTTACCGTGCAAGAATTTTCACATAAAAAGAAGCTCGCAAAATCGGACCAGCAAGTGAACAACGAGCTACGACTTGTAAGTTGGATTGTATATACAGAAATCGATATTGAAAGTGATATTCTTTTCAAATTTAAATTCTTCAGAGCTTACGCAAGGCGCAACATCAAATTGCGAGTCTGGACGCATTGTTGAAGCTGGAATTAACTCAGGATCAAATACCGAAAGTTGTTGAGATCACACAGCAAAAGAAAGAGCTTACGAAGAGGTCTGCATAAAACTAGGTAAACTCGTGTAAACAATAAGAAGACCTTATCCAGAGATCTTATTAGTTTATAAGAGTACTCGACTACTTTATAAAGCAGTCTGATTCGAAAACTATAATTAATAATCGTAAGAAATAAATTTAAATTAATGTATTTTACGTCTAGGAGATTATGAAGGAAGGAAGGAAGGATAGGAGGAAAGGATAAAATTACTTATTGTTTTAAAATCTATAATAAACACTATTCCGTTTCCTATATATGGACGATTGTAATCGATACGTGCTCATACAGGATGTCCTAGGATCGTCGAAAAATGGACATATAATGTTATTCTTTTGCTTAAATGTTTTTCTTATTTTAGAATCGAACTAAAGATACTAATGACGTTAGTCTCTTTAGTTTTACATCTATTGTCTAAAAAGAACAAATTTCGATTAACGAATTGCATGACCATAGCATTTATTAACTGGTACACTTGATCATCGCAGTGGTACATTTTCGTTTCGATTCATTGTTCTATCTCGCTCATTCTCTCTCTTTCTCTCACTCTTTCTCGCACACATTTATTCATACATACATACTCTCCTTTCTCTCTCTCTATCTCTCACGCTCCTTCACTCACACACATTCAATGTAATAACAAGTTCACATTTTCAGTTAATATCGGTTCTTTATTGTTACAATAAATTTATGCTTATTGCACACTTTTCCATGATATAAAACTCATTCCACTACTCTCTTGCTTTTTTTGTTTCTCGCTCTCTTTCCCTCTCTCTCTCTCGTTCACTCACTCTCTCTCTCTTTCATTCTCTCGAGATACAAAATTAATCCATCATCGAAACACGTCGCACTGATGATTTTGTTTCTAAAGGGGTCTGCAAATAAATTGTTTAAATAACAATAACTTAAATATAAATATCAACGCAATATGTCCCGTGAGCTCCTACAATCGTCGAGAGATTGAATCTCTCCGTATCCTTGATCCTTTCGTTCTTCCTGCCTCCGTAAGCGCAACGACAGTGTCGTTCCTTGTCAATGGCAACCTGCCTCTCGTTGATCGAACTAATCTTTCACAGTAACGTGTTTTTGCTATAACCGTTTTTGTGGGAGATACACGTCAACTGCTTTGAGCCTTTGGGTCCTTCGTTACCGCGAAGAATCCCCTGAAGTCGTGGGTTGCCGAAAACATGAATCCTTAGAAACTTTACAATGACAGATTCTTCATCCTTCGTCGCATTGGAAACACTTTATTAGTAATTAAAGTTGAGATAATTTATAATTGCTATTTTTTCTTTTTAAATCTCTTGATATCCTAAGCCTTGGAAAACTTGGACTCTCGTCAGTCGCTACCTCATTCTTTCGAATTCAATTAGAGCTTGCAATTTAAATGCTTTGGTTGTTCGGATTCTCTTGGAATTTTGATCGCGGAATTTCAATCCCGACACTTTCGGATTCATGAATTCGAGCAGATATTTCGTTAACTTTTCGGTATCGTGGATCCTTTGGCTCCTTCGGAGTTTTTGGGATGTTAATCCTACAAACTCTCGTGCAGCACTCTCGCTCTCCCAACTTTCCCGCAGGACGATGAGCATTCAAGGAATTAGCTTTCGGGGTGTTCGACGAGCGTCGTGTCCGAGTCTTCCTCGACCGGGACGATTCTCTGCAGTTCAACAGTACATGAGATGCGCAGATCGATCACCAAGACGGCGGCGGTGTCCTTGAGATCATTGGATCGCTTTTATCGATCGCAAATATCGCCGTATGTGAATCGCGTGGGAACTCTCACGGTTGCTGCCTTAGTATCATGTGTAAATGCGTGTGTGTAGACGTATATGTGTGTGTGTGTGTGTGTGTGTATCGCTCTTTGTGTCTATGTATGTTGAATATGAGCATAGGTATGTGATCGGTCCGCGCACACGGTATATACTATAATGAATATCGACGAGCTGCCCTCCGGCAGTGGCGAGGAAAGCAGAGCTCTAACGGAAATTTGCCTACATAATCTCGTCGTCTCGACACATCGCCTCCGACAGACTTTTAGTGTGTTGGGTATTTCTCAGTGTGTGTGATGTGTGTGTGTCTCTGTGCTGCCTACGTGTCATGTATGTTTGCGTGTATGTGTGTGTTACGAAAGGTGGTAGGTGGTTTACCAAAAGGTATAACCGCCCTCTGTTCCTCCTCCCAGGAACGAACCCTTCTTTTGCGACAAAGCCACACTGTGGCCGGCCATCGCGGCCAATTGCGCGGCGTTCGCGGCCACCCCGGGCGGTGGTGGCGGCAAAACTGGCTGTGAGATGCCGTCGAAGCGAGTACCGTCGAAACCGTTCTGTGAAATGAAGAACATAACGAACATTTTGGTATCATTCGAAAGGCGGTAAGAGTTTGGAAACTCTCATTATCCTTCTGTGTGATGATTCATTGCTTCAGGTAATAAATGCAGAAGCAGTTTAGTCAAGTTTGGTATCGGTTAACTTAATATACTTTAAATGACTCTTCAATGTGTGTCTAACAAGACATACACTGAATGACGATACTTACAGGTACCATAATAGTGGGCCTCACGGGGGCGGGCTGCATAGCGGCCGCAGGATAATACGCCGCCGCTGCAGCCAACGGCGGATAATATTGCAGTGGTCCATATGCGGTAGGATACCCTGCCAAGTATCCACCAGGATATCCCTGTCCGTACATCGGTTGGTACATCTAAGAGCGGATTTTTATCGATGAAATCCCAATTCTAGGCTCATTCTGGCTTTTAATAATAAAACATGGAAGTAAGCGATTCTCACCATAGGATGCGTAAGAGTCTGATCATACGTCGGTGGTGGTGGACCCTGTGTCGCATAAAGCTGCGGTTGATTGGGAAACACTCCGTAGGGCGCGGCGCCTGCAACTGCAATGATGAATATTATTGTACTTAAAGTATAAAACAGCGTCGAGATGGACGGCTTTCAAAACAACTCGCGACTTTCAAAGCGGAAAGACAAGCGTTAGGCGGCAAACAAACGAGCATTTACTATGCGATATTACATACGTCAATTGCCGTATTCTTGTTGCAATGTGTATATTAATTATCATACAATATATGTCGGCTGAAATTTCTTTATTTGTAGATAAAATCAAACAATCAGGCAGCCCGTGTTCACGTTAACAAGAAAAAAACAATAGAGGCACACGCATGGCCGAGGTTTTATCAGAGGAAATACTAAGAGATAGAGAGGCCTTACCACCGTAGGTCGGGGGCTGCGTTGGCGCGGGGACAAAGCCGGTCGGTGGATGCGGTGCCACCGGATACGCTGCAACACAAGGCAACGCGAAATGCAGCTCTACCAAATCTGCAGGCCGCAGAATGGCGTGTGTGTGTGTTCGATCTAAGCCAACATGGTACGTGGTACCACCGCCAGAAAGGACGAGTGCCGGCGCGCCCCGTTCGCGTTTTGACACGGCAGCGAAAAGTTAAACTCATCGTCGACAAATCGTCGCCTCGTCCGCGTCGAACGCGGCGGAGCGCGTCGTCGGGGTCGGGAACGTGGTTGGATTATTTTCTCCGACGCGATTTTCCTACGTAAACGGTCGACGATTTCTTCAGCACAAACTTCTTCGTGTCAGCGGCACTAACGATTCGAAAAGCAACTCAGAGTTGTTTGAACAGGTATAAAACGACAGAAACCAGATCAATAGAAGTTACCACGTTTGTAGATATTGAGCAATTTTTTTTTTAGAATGGAAGAGATCATTCTGTGACCTGTTATTCCGAGATATCGTTTTCGAATGCGAGAAAACCGCTTCGAGTTGGTGTGCTCGAAGCTTGAAGACAATTCGTCTGTTTTGTTCCGCTACGTCGGAGAAAAATCGTCCAACGCGCCACCGATTCCCAGAGTGGTACTCCCACACCCAAGTATATCTTACACATGACATACACCGTTTTGATCAAGGTACTATTCAAAGCTCAAACAATGTTAGTCACTAAATAATGGTGAAAAGAAATAACCGAAGATATCACGCCCGTCTGTCGCCCCCCGGGCTTTCCGCCACCGAGCTTTTATTCCGCCCGGAACGTGAACCGCGTTGGCGCGCAGACGGGCTTTTTTGTAAAAACATTTACAAGGTGACAAACTACTCCTCATACCGAAGAACGTATGACTCGGTTCTTTTGATATTAATTACCATCAGTATCTTCGAGATCATTTTCTTGTATCAACAATCACGCTTTTTCGTGATGATTCATATATTCAAAGTCTTGTTATCTCAAAATAATGATACTTCTTTAAGTGTAAAAGCGCGTTGGAACATATCAAAGAGGAGGAAACAATTTCCCCATAATGTATATAATCGGTAATGTTTTCAATAAAGTCAGACAGGAATTTTTTCATATAAAAGAGAACGGTATAAAAAATATATTATAATATATAATCTAATAATTAATATTTGTATATAAAGTTATCAATATTAAAAAAAAATTAAAGAAACCGACGGAGAAATGTGGACCTTCGACTATTGAAGATTAAATAATTCCATCTAAACTTTGTTAGATTTTGCAAACGTTCTTTGATTTTTTGAGAAGTTGGTCATCTTTGATCACATCCTCTCGGGGATCCATCGAGGTCGCTAATAGATCATCCACACGAATGGATCCACGATCGAGGAGCGGTTGAGGCGAATCGCGCTCGAGAATACTTCGGAGTATCGGTAGATTTCCCCGAGATTGGGGACCGCTATTTGTAAAGAGTGAATTCAACGAATACTATTGATCTTAGCAAACTCTAATTTTCGGACTTTCCACCGAAGCTTTTGTTGCTGGCTATTCTCGAATAGCGACTCGCCGATGAGCAACCTTTACTTCTAGAACTAAGATTTAATACGAAACCGATCTCAAAGCAAATAGCGTTACGCAATCAAGGTAAAAGCCAAATACATTCGTCTAAGAGGTCGAGCCTGAGGGATTCGCGTGTCAACTGAAAGAGGCGTCAACGATAAGATACTCGAATGTAAAAGATCGTCGAGATAAGTTGTTAACATATTGAATTGTCGCGTGAATGCTTTCTGAATCCTTAAGAAGAATTAGGATAGATATGAAAGAACAACATCTTGTAAGTTGGAATATCTGGTATTTGTTTGCATGAAATTTACGCAAACTAATATGAAAGTTTTGGTTATTAGCAATTAAAACTTCGTTTTGCTTAAAATAGTTTGTTTACTCAAGGAGTAGCATGCTTCAAATTTAACGATCTTGAAAGATTCTGAGATTTATGTTCCGATGAGCGATGAGGAAAGTCGGGAACTTCATTACAGGCTCATCGGATTCCTCGTAATATTTTGGCATATCGATCTTCAACATTCAATCGAGAACGTTCGTTTATGATCACACTTTGCAAATATAATCAACATGTTAACAATTCGTTCGTTTATTATTTACTTCATTGATCGCTAATTAACCCATCGTATCCGTATGCACTTCAACGTTACATTTTTATTGCAATTATGAACTCGAATCTCAATTTATCTGAAAAATACGATTTTATGTGAGACGCGAGACGGACAAGAGAGGCAGATCCAAGTGATAGACCGTCGCAAATCCCGAGACTCGACCGCGTTCGAGGAACAGAAAAACGACAAAACAGAGCTAAAATAAAGCCAGGAGGTAAGAAGGATAACGGTTGCTCCAAAGAGTGATGTTAAAACAAGCCCAAGTAATCGAAGGACTCGCGATGTGAGAACGACAGTCGGTCTCAGCATCATCTCGTTACATTATCATTATCATTATGTATCATCATCATCGTCGTCATCGTCATTATTGTCATTGTCGTCCTCGTCATCGTCAGCGTCGATGACGAGACGCGACTTCACAAAGTTAAACCGAGGAGAAGAGAGACTGTACATTTCTCCCTTTCTCTCTCGGGGCGGTGAATGTGTAATTTATACAATGAGTATAGTGGTACGATGATTATGTATATATATATAAATATATATATGTAATATTTATATATGCATATATAGCGGTGGACTATATATACATATCGGGCTCCACACATTCAAAAAGTCGTGACAAGACTCAGCAAACCACAAATTTCTGCAAATATCCAGAGATAAAGGTCAAACATGATTAAAAGTTCCTCGGAATCGTGTGTAATAAGTAAGTAGGTAAACGTCGGCGACCGGCCGCGTCGCGACGCCGCGAGACGCTCGGCCGCCTGCTTTTCTCTCTCTAGTCTTTTTAATTATCTAAATTGCGTCATGCGCCGCGCGTCGCCGTCATCAAGAGGTCGGTTATCCTTTCGAGTGTTTCTACGTTTTTCGTTTCTCATTAATATATATATACATACATTGTCCAAAGTATGTAGGAAAATGGAGGATGCGTACAATCTCCGGAGATCATTTTTTGAAGGAAAGGAAAGCGAAGAAGAACGACAGAGGAAACACGAAGTTTTGGAAAGTTACTTGCTTCAACAACTGAGGAAACGATTCTTCCAAGCCGTCCAAAAAAAGATACACATTTGAGAAAGATGGAGATTATGGGTAAGAAGAAATTGTTCCCGCGAATGAAAAAGCGAATTCCAAGGCGGAGGATTTTTCGTCCTCCGGGCGACGTGCGCGCGGTTGCTCTGGCGCTGGATGGACATGTTATACTCTAACATAAACGTCAGCCCACACCAAATTATCCATGATATGACCGAAGGCTGGTCGAACGGGCGGAGACGAACGGTCCAACGCGGCTTCCCACACATCCGTTTCCGCCACAAATTGCGTGATCTCGTGAGAATTCACCGTGTCGATGATGCAGATGAAGCTATTTTGCATTTTTGCGATGCCCAGGTGTGCAGACGCGACTGTCGACCGAAGAAGAGTAGTCAAATACGGAGGAAGGAAAAATAGTTGCGCCTGGGCTCGCGTCAGTACAGCTTTCCGCACATCATCGTAATAATACACGAGAAGGAGCTAATTGAAAGAAGGAAAAGCCTCGAAGATTCGGGGGTGACCGAAAGATCCGGGCGAGAATAACTTCACTCTAAACACTCCACACACACGTTCGTGAGTCCGCGTTGCATCATCCGGTCCGTCTACGCGTTCGCGCAGCCTTCGGTTGCAGTAATAAGTTATGTATCAATGTGCCACGGTGCAAACAATTATCGAATCAGTAACAATCGATTGTAATAATTAATGCTAGTACGGCTTCAATGATAAGTCGAAAAGTGTCCATAGCTTCCTTTTCTTTCGCACTCTTTCTCTCTTCGTTTCTCTCTCTCCCTCTCTCTCACGCACGCACTTTCTCTCTCTGTGACTTCTTCGATTTGTCCCAATGAGCAGTTCGACGCTATTCAGAGCACGATTCATTTCTGATCTCATTTTTTTGCTCGTTTCAGTCTACTCGACGACCCACGTGAAATGGCTGGCCAACGAGGCCAAGGGTGCGTCTACTTTTCTTTTTTTCTTTCTACCGGACGGCGGCTCATCGAAATGCTTCCGTGGAACAGGAAGTGTCCTCGAAACGACTGTGACCACTGGAAGCGCGACGAGAAAAGGATCGTTAGGTAGTTGTGAGTATGCGAATTCTCTGGTGGCAATTCGGGAAATGTGCTAAGAATACACACCACCAGTTAGATAACGGTTCATTATGAAAATAAGGAGAACGTAATTCAAGAAAAGAATCACGTTTTTCTGATTTTACAGAGAGGGTAGCTACTGAAAGGGGCTACAATTTCAAGTCTTTGTTGCGACCGGAAAATGTCAACTAGATTCGACAAGAAACAAGACTCGAGTGACAAGATCTTAGGAAAAACCTTAGCGTCTATTTTGCTTCCGGTGATCTGCGAAACAATCGTCGCGAGGGCACCCTCGTCCAGTATCGACCAACGTATCGAACGAACGCTACTTCGCTTAAGCTCACTATTAACAGTATACACGGTTAATACATCTTGCCAATCATGCGCATGCAGTTTGTCGCATGGCCGGGAGAGCTCGTCTCGCGATTTCTTAGCGGGGTCCGCTCAGCATCCGAAACAAGAGCGACGTGACACGCACGAGTGCGAATGTGTAATACGTTAATAAACGTATGGTATGTACATGGAACATGTGGACGACGTAAGAAGAACGCGAAGAAAACGACGCTGACGAGTCTCCCGGAAAGAGCGACGTCAAGGTCATCTACGGAGCTACGGTGATCACACAATAACACGACGGTTCAAAACACGATTACGCCAGTTCGCTCGATCCCGCCTTCCTTCATGTGATCGAAGTTGCTACCAGTAAGCAAAAGTAATAAATAAGGTGTAGGTGTCCGGGAGGGATCGAATGCGAATGAAGTAACCAGTGTACAAGGCGAAATCGTGAGAACCGGCTAAAACAGTATATTGAAAGAAAAGAAACATGCACGATTGTAGAAACAACGGGGCCGGGGAACTGTGTGTACGATCGTCCTTTTTTCCTTCGATCCTTCCCTGCAATATGTTTCTCTGTTCGCTTCTCTTTTTCGCCTCTCTTTTTCGCGCTCTATCATGTCTCGTTTTTTTTTCGTTTCCGAGTGAAGGACGATCGTACTGAGGACCCTCGTCGCCGAGGAAAAAACGTTCCGAGCATGCGAACCGAGATAACAACTCATGGAAAAATTGAAGCTCCTTTTACTCGCAAGGAGACCTACTATTGGGATGCTAAAAGGGTGAACGCAATTTCACTTTTGTATTTTGGTCAGCCGCGATTGCGTAGCTCTCGTACGCATTCTTCATTCCCCTCTCTCTCTTTCTCACATACACATACACATGCGCGCGCGTACACACTTTCTCTCCTTTTTTTTCTTCGTTCTGAAGTTAACCACGCGCGAGAGCAACAAATCGCAGTCACGGCCGACGAGAGTGAGATTACGTTTCGTGTGATTTGAATGCTTCCATCGTCCTACGACGTTCAAAGTCAAGCTACTGTAAACTCAAACTATACTGAAGAATCGACCTATGATTACGACTACGATCGTCGGAGGAGGAAGTCGAGATGTCTTTCTCTCTCTCTCTCTCTCTCTCTCTCTCTCTCTCTCTTTCTCTCTCTCTCTCTCTCTCTCTCTCTCTCTCTCTCTTTCTGACTTTCTATAACACGTGTCTACAACGTGCAAATGAGCGCTGCCACGAGTTTTCTCGTCAGTCGATTGACTGTGCGTTCTCCTTCAATTTGGAACTTTCTCGATTTTTTTTTTGTTCTTATTTGTCCTCTCAATTGCATCTTGTCGCGCGACAATACTCGGGAAACTTGTGGCGCGGCTCAAAGCGACATGCACTATTTGTTAAAAGTGAGCTGGCAAGTTCCTAGTGAAGTAAAAGTATCGTCAAAAGAATATGCCGAGCTTAGATACAGCATTCGTGTCCAGCCGCTATGTGAGCGCGTGCACGTGCGCACAGCTCAAGATTTACGAATTAGTTATCAATTCAAAACTTGTGTTAATGCTGGATAATCAATTAATTTTTGCAATATTAGAATTACCAGCAATTGATGATCTTATGGAATATAATTTAACGCATTAATATATTACCGATGAAGATTCAAGATTTTTATAAATAGAAAATTCTTGCTCTAATTATTCTTCAGCAAATATATGAGATTAATAGAAACTGATATATTATTTAGCGGAATATAAGTTAGACGTTTCTATTCTAATTATCTGTTTTCATAGCGTGCAATAGTTCCGAATCTGAAAGTCTTACAGACTTATAATTGTGCCAGATTTATTAATTTTGCTTAAAGTTACTTTTTCGCGCATTGCTGTTATTAGCAAGGACAGTCTTCTGTTATCACGAAAATAGAAATATTAAGATGTGTAACAAAAGAGCTTACAATTTTACAGAGCGAATGTTCATGAGCGTGCGAGCGCGCTCGCGCGGACACGTCGGGCATAGAATAATAAAGAAAAGAAAAAGGAAAGATAGTAAAAGAACAATGAGTAAAGCAATCAGCCAATACCACGAAGTTCCAGTACGGAATATAGTTACACCCATATCAATATCTTACGACCATATTGATTTGGATATATAGCGACCCACGCCTCTGATTCCCAAAAGCGACCGATCAAACGACGTGAACGCGTCACACGGCGTTCACGGTCGCGACAGTGGGAAACCGATTCGAATTGGGCGCGCGAGCTTTCTCCGCGTGAAGTTTTCGCACAGTACATTCGATAGTTCTTTCATAGTTCGACAACAATCGTGCTTTCGTTTGCATTCTTTCCTCTGAGGGAACACAGCCGGTTCCTCAGCGATCGTCTGACTAGCTACAAGTCGTCGGTTTCGAAGAGTATTTCCCGAAATGCGAACTTTCGCGCGGAGAACTTCGTAACATAGCACGGCCGCGTGGAAGTCACGCGATTCGTAACTTAAACGTGGCACGTTTTTTTGTTTCGAATCGGGAGACGCCTGGTGCGTTCTATATCTTTAAGTACGTTGAGGCTACAAGAAAGCCGACGATCGCTTCTAATCTTGTTGAAAGTGCCACTCGCTTCCTGCTAATGCGATCACGATTTCGCTTCGCGTTTATTACGCGTTAACGATTAAGCGCGACTCAGGAGTCTATCAAGGATCTAGAGACTCGCTTAGAAATCTAAGCAGGCGAAAGTGTGAACACACAAATGCAAAATTTCGGAGGATCCACGGAGTCCCGTTACTCCGTGAGATCCAAATGCTAAATAAAACAGCCAATATGTGAGACTAATAAGCTGAATTTTAGGTATTATGCATCATGAAGTTGTGGGATCTGCGAAGCGGTATAATTCTGGAATCAAAGCAATTCCGGAGGGTCAATGTGGAATCAAGAAGTTATCTACAGGTCCGTAGATCCTCTAACTTTAGTGGATTCTTTTCATATTCGGCTAATCTTGTCTTCGCGAGAGGGCATATGCATTTGAGTAACAACAATAAACATTAGAAGCAACCGGGATGGCTTGCCAAACAGCCTCAGCATATTCAGGTGGTATACATATTTATATAATATATATATGTGTGTATATACGTAATTATGTTGGTATAAACACGTAGTGAGTTAAGGTAATATATAGAGTAAGGTGAGATTAGATACGTGGCTTAGGCTGCGCCGGTCTCCGGAGCTCCACCTACTGACTGGGATCAAATCGTCTTTGTAATGGTCCGCTGCAAACATATTGACAGCCAAACTGTAGGCACTGTCCCTCCGCTCAAGCTGCTACACCGCCAAAGGTATAATAAACGGTAGCAGATTCGCAGCAGTATAACAGTATCTTCGCTTGTTCTTACTAACAGTATTATATGGAGTTTAAGGAGCACATCGGCTCTCCATTTACAGGCTAAGTTTTACGTATCCTTAATACTGCGCTCTGCAGGAGCGCAGCACCTGCTTTGGGGACAGATCAGACAGACTTGATAATAAAATGTCGCAACTGGAGCTTAACTGCTCTGAACGGCATTTACATGAAAGATATTCTCTTTCTCTCTCTCTTTCTCTCTCACACACACACTCTCTTGCTCTCTCTCTCTCTCTCTCTCTTTCTTTCTTTCTTTCTTGCCAGAGCTGTTCCGTGGGTATCTCGGATCTATTGTGCTCTGCTGTGTTGTGCAGATAGTAACCGAGCAGATCCGTGACACCTGGAGCAACTTGAGCGTACAGACAGACGCTTAGGTGAACTCGATCGCTTTGACCCTGCAGTGTCTATTCGATCGTAATTGGGTAGCGCGAAACCGTTTGCCCGTACATGATACTCTCTTAAGCTCTGCGAGCCCTTCTTTGATCATACTTTTCATACACGAACGTTTGCGCATTCTCATTCGTAACCGGCTCCTGCATCTGTAAGAATACGACTGAGTAATACCAAGAGATGACCTCTGGAGAGCATATACAACCGTGAAACAAGTAGAGACCCATCACAGTGGATTCTTATCCTTTGAACTTCCATTGAATGTAATTCAAGCTAAAACTCATGTTTTAATGCTAAATACATGTAAATGTATATATTGCGGAGAAAAGATACATAACTGTACGTTTAAAGTTCAAGGAGATAATATACATACATATGTATACACATACATACAAACATATATATGTGTGTACAGAACAAGTATATATATGTATGCATTTGTTGGAATATATGTACCAAAGCATACATATTTATTAAGAAAGAAAAAAATTAAACGTACTGTGAGAGTGTGTCCAAAGACACATCATTACTGAGATTGAGAGGATCTAAAAATATCTGGGAAAGATATTTATAATTTAAAAGAAGTTTGAGACTGTGTTGAAGTATCTCAAGCACATAGGACCAAGAATCACAAAGAACTAGAGCTTATGAATATTATCAAGAAGAAATTAAAAAATAAAAATACGTAAGAATTTACAAGATTTAGCTGATTTTAGAGAGAATATTAATAATCTAAAAGTATAATCTAAACGCATGGGGAGAAAATAATGCGCAATTTTGCGAGAGGTATCAACGAACACGAAAGTCCAAGTGCCCTCGAGGGCCTTGTGTAGTGAATTTCTTCGAAAAGAATTCGAAGGAGACGCGATAGGAACGGGTTTCCGAAAGAATTGCGGATAAGGGAACAGAGAAGACGTGTGAACGACAATTTGCAAATTTGGCGCACGAACCAGTATGAAATGTAACGAAATTCTCTCTTTTGTCACGAGGAAAAAAGAGAGAAAGAGAACGAGCGAGTCTCCGGAGGCCATTTTGTATTCCCAGCGCGATGCGCGGTATTGATTTGTCCTGTCAACTCAGGCCAGGTATTCGGAGCGGTCCGTGCCGACGCCCGGGGCCCCGGCGCGCGAGCGACGACGCACCGCGTCGCATCGTGAGCCGTGTGCACCAGGAGTCGCGTCGACGCCGGCGTCACTTCGGGTGATGACCGTGCGTCGCGTCGAGTGACAAGTGGTGAGGCACGGCTTATCTTAACGAGCGCACGCGTGTGTATTACGTGTACGTGTGTGTGTGCGGAGTATGTCCCGTGTGTATATGTGCACGCGCGTTTCCTGGTGTCTGTGTGCACCTGTGTGTATGTGTGTGTATGTATGTTTCCCTCTCCCTCTGGGGTCTGTCGGTGTACATTACACGCAACTGAACGGTAACGCGCGTGACTACGTCGTATAATTACCTTTCTTGTCGGTCATTATTGCTTAAAGTTTCACAATTTTACTAAAAAAAAAGTGGTACGTTATTCCTAATTAATTCACCGATTCGAGTCTCGCAACACTGTTCGGCCGACGGGAACGGCTGTGACACTTGACAGACACTAGCGCCCTTTATTGAGCGTGTCCGTGGTGGCGGCGCGACGGCGCCGCGCGCTGCTGCCCGCGCCTCGCAGTTCAATTGGACGTTGACTCCACCAATGAGAGTGTTGCGATATAAAGGCTGCTTCTCAGCGTCTTGAATCGTGCACGTTGATTGCGCAGCTTTGCTAAGTCCGATCGCGAAATTAAAACTCAACCAATCAGAATTGAGCAAGATTTAAAGATGATAATTGACCAATGAAATAGTACTGTGTCTCTTTCTAGAGAGCAACCAATACTCAGTTTGTGATACGAGCTTTATATGGCTGATTTGTCTATTATTCAATTCACGGTTGTCAAATAAAATTAGATCCAAGGTTTTTGGGTAGAGTGTGACACGACGCAAGGTTACCGGTTAAATGGTCAAGCACTGTCAGTTAGCAGTATATTCGGTATTTGTAAATAAGCAGATATGACGACCAAAACCATTGAATTGCAACGTAAGTAATCACTCAGAGATAAGCGGTAGAACTTTTACAAAAATTCAGATATATATATATATATATCCACATATTTGTCTGTAATAAAGCATTTATTTATAACGTAACGCATTTATTTATTTGTAACGTATTATTTATATAGTGATAAGTATTTTGTTCTATTAAAACACTGTAGCATTTCCAATAAGAAATTATTACGACTTTATTTTATATTAACAGGTAAACATTTGATGGAGGCCTTCCAATATGATTGTCAAACGTTATTAACACGTTTTGAGTTAACTTACAATACTCATTTTCAAAATTTCTGTGAAATTTGGAGAGAAATGCAGTTTTCATTAATATTTGAGTAAGTAGTTGATTCTTTAGTGAAAGAAAAAGTAGAATTGTAAGAATAAAATTTCCTTATAAAGATTTTCACAAATGATTTAATACCAGATGTTAAATATATGAACCTATTGAAGAATGAGAATTAATGAAAATTATAAACTTACAGTTGTCAGCCCTCTAAATCAGTCTTGATTGTCTTTTATAAAAATGCTCTTCATGTAACAAAACAATTTCTGATAAATGCATCTGGCTTAAAAGAACGTATTGGTGCTCTGTATCTCATGTATAGTGTGTATTACATGGTGCGATCAGATGAGGCAAAGATTAGAATGACTTTGTCAGATTGGAAATGTTTGATGGATCTGCATCAGCAAGTTAAGGTGGAAGAATATCTTGATGCTAATTATATTTTGTGCAAACTAATTGTTGATTGTGCATTTATCCATTGCATTAGTGACAATGAGGTATGTCTGCTTCTTAACCTTTTTATGCTATTAATATCAAATTGCAATTAGTTTCATTTAAACATCAACAATTATTAAATTATATATTAATAATCAAAACTGAATAATGCATAAAGTCTTCTGATTCAACTTTGAAGAGATATATTAATAGGTAATTTTCTAAAGAAATATAGTGGCTATCTAATAAGTTAATAGTATCTCAGTGTATGTATATACTTGCAGTATGGCATCGAGAAGCATTTCCACAAGAGCAAGTCAAAGCCTTTGCTGGATTATTATAATATATTACCTGAGATCAAAGATCTGGCAGCACCTGGAAAATTGCTATCAACAATCAACAGCTTAAGCAAGTTGTATGAGGAGAAGAAGCGCACCTTTGTTGGTGAACAAGATATCTCCAGTGTGCAACTTTATGATGCAAACATGGCGAATGATTTTATTAACTGCATTCGTACAATGCAAGCCGAAACCAGAATATTTTCTAAGAATACTTTTGACGAGAACACCTGTAGTAATGAACCGAGACCGTCAACGTCTGCATCGTCAGAGTTAGCGTCATTATCAACGTCAGAGTTAGCATCAACATCGGCATCAACATCAGCATCAGCATTAGCATCAGCATCAGTATCAGCATCAGCATCAGCATCAACATCAGCATCAGTATCAGCATCAGCATCAGCATCAGCATCATTACTAATGTCAATGCCAATACTAGTATCGTCATCATCATCGACGGTACCAACTTCAGCATCTAACAACCAAGAGAATAATAAAGTTAAAAAACGGTGAGTAATCTTCTTAGGTTTGTTAATAGTCATTACTTGAAACTGGCCTCTTATAAGATACTTAGAGTTCTATTCAGAGTCAGATCCAAGTTTTTCAGTTAAATTAAGATATATATGATATTTATATCAGTAATTTATATCAGTAATGATTCAACTGAAAAACTTATCTAATTCTGAAATCAAATATAAGTATTTTACTTGAAACAAATTTCAAATAATAACTATTAACTTTAGGCCTTAGAATCCCATGATTTTCTTTATGATACATGATTAGAACATTAATTATTTTATATAGAAAAGATAATATAGAATGAAAATATTTTTACGCGCTTTGTTTCCATAAGAACGGATTAGAAGAAACAAGTGATTATATTAACAATAGTTTTTTCTGACATGCAGACTTCCTCATATATATAACATTCGCACCAAATATCTATATTTATTTCCTTATTGTATTATAAAGTGCGATTATATACGGATTACGGAATATATACGTGCGTAATTTAGAGAACTTATTGGTTATAATTGGTTATAAACAATTCTTTGACAGCCGAATACGTCGTCGAAAGAAATTGATCCTGGCCAAGATGGGTCACGCATTTGAAACAGCGTTAAGATCGGAATCTGAAGAAGAAATGGAGATAGAATCTGATTCAGATCCTTTACAAGGCGTTTGAAGGAAGCTTAGTGTTGTTTTAGAACAACACAAGGTTACAATTTAAAAACTGACGGTAATATATGAAATATTAACTAATAGTATCAATAAAAAGAATGTTTGTAAGACACAAAAAATATGTACATATTCATCAAATATATTTTATTGTAAAAATATATGCAATGCCACGGGAATCGTAATAGTTAAATATTAATTTTTTGTATAAAAAGATGCTGCGCTCCGTTGAATTTTTTATTGAGACGCACTAGATCTGTATACGATAGACATGACAATTCAATTAAATGATTAAACTTTAGCAATGCAATTCGAGTAAGTTCATAAATATGGAAACGCGGATACAGTTAAAGAATTCAATGTAGCAACGGTTTAATTTCTCAAGAACTCAAGAAAGTAATTCAATTATCTCAATCTTCAGATTTATCTTTTCAGGTTATTGAAAAAGACAAGATAAGCCGTTATCTCACATTGAACTCTTCAATTTTATTCAAAGTTATTGTGCTATGCATTGAGATACGCTTTCTTTGTATGAAACATGCAAATACACAGTGGTGATCAACGTTAGTTTCCTTATCTTACAAGTCTTCAAGAAATTCGGTCACCATATATGTTTTTGTATTACTTCGCGTCGAAAGGATTACACGCGAAACGTAAGCTTCCAAGACATTAAAGATCTTTCAGAATCCTCAACTTCGAATATTATTTAAAATGACACGAACTTTGAAGATTCAGTTACAGTGATATCATCAACATTGATCATTTGTCAATGTTTTTGTGCAGGTCAGGAAGGAACCTCAGCGATTATATGTCCGTGAGGCTGTCTTCTAGTACACCTTCAATTGGTTATTATCGTCGAAGCCGGCGCTGTGTCCTGCATTTCTCACGATGAAACTAGTGCCGTCGTAGTGCATGCGACGCTCGCCACGACGTACAAATAGATGCGACGTTTGACCCAAAGAAGCGGTGCAATGCAGAAAGGGAGTCGTCAGGGATGCTGTACCGTTGCTGGGCGATGTACGCAGCTGATATTTGTTGCTGTTTCGCGCAATCCTGTTGTACAGCGAATTTATTAGTAATATTTAAAATTGTCGATGAAATGAAAGGATCTCGTGACATTATAATTCCTTGTCGCAATTTTCCTCACCCTAAAATGATACAATTCTATCTAACTTACATACATTTTGAAACATTTCAAAATTTTGAAATGTTTTTTCCCGGTTTTTATTTATTAATAACACCGAATTGCTTAATTCTGATTTTGAAATTTTTAGATTATACAAGCAAAATGCGAATACCTAACGAGACCATCTGGAGTTTGGGACACTCTGACGTTGTTAATAATCCAATTTTCAACACCCTCCTCAGTCTGCCAGTATTCAGCCGTACTGAGATGCGCCGCGGCTTCCTGCAACCACGCCGGTCCATGGCGGGAGCCCGCGTAGAAAACGTTGAGTGAGTAGTCCTGCAAGTTAAAGCCACAGTAAGTCTACCGAAAGTTAGTTTTATAAATATTTCTAGACCTAACTATTCAATAAGGTTTTTCCCGTTAAAAATATTCGTACAATTATGTGAAAAATCGAATGACTGATTAATCAAATACTCGAATATCGATAAATCCGAATAGAATGTGCAGTTCTAATTTGACCACGCGTTAATCTAAAACCTGGCTCATGTCTGAAAAAGAATCCGTGGTGGTTCTGGTGCCAGCCGTGTCCACTAGATAGACGAGCGCGCATTGTTCCGACGTGAAGCTGACTCCCTTGTACCACATTTTCGCGTACCTGTGAGAAAGCAAGTCAGCCGAAATTAAAGCGGTTGTTGAAGCACCGAGAGAACCTGAACTAACTTATTGTTGCCATGCGTGTCGTGCGCGACGATCTCCACTCGTGATCCGTACTGATATATCCTACCATTCGGGTGCAGCAAGGCGGTTTCTGCTCCACGGCCGCTCAACGATAGAACTATGTTATTCTACGAGAGACGAGATATACATTTAAATCTGATCAATTGACATAGTAACACCGATTCTCTCATCCCTCCTCCGCAGAGTTTCTCACACTAATATTACGAAATCTTTACAGGGGATCACCTTGAAATTGATGACTCTAACGGCACGGTCGATGGTCATGTCTACGCGTATTCTGTTGTGCAGTCGCAAAGATATGGTGCCGTGGGGGGTTGCAACGACGCCGCCTATACTGGCGTCCGCGGCGTCATGCTCCCTCCAGTTCTCTGTGTAGATGGAAGCCTCCTCCGTCGCATAGTAAGGCCCGCCCGAGATCGACTTCCTGGCCTGTCGCCAAATCGCCGCCGCTGCCGATCCCGAATACGCCGAAGTCGCTGTGCCACCCAGACTACTCCATTGATCCGCCGGCGGCTCAAAGTATTTAGACAACTCACCATATCGCTGATAAGATCGTCAGGCGAGAAGAAAGGTCAGTGATCAAAGATACAAAGTAGCGCGATAACGAACTTCTATTTTATATGTTGTATACATACAGTACTAACGAATATACTTGACAAATTTTACTAAATTCTACGATTTTACAGTTTTCATTAATAGAATTGTTATTGATACATTTTTATTTTTGTAAACAAATTATATAAACGTTAAAGTTTATAGAAACACAAGATCTTCGTAAAAATCTTATACTATTTCTTACTTTTTTCAAAAAAGTTTTATGCTATTAATATTTTATATTTTATGCTATTAATATTTTTCTCTTGAATGTGATGTTCAAATTATTGCAAAATTATCTTTCTTAAGAAAGAGAGAATATCTGTTTTATATTTTTTGTTTTATTGCTATTTTAACTTTTACATATTCTCGTTGCAAAATTATACTTCCTAGGCTTAGAATAAAATATAGAGATGGATTAGTGTTAGAAAATAAAGTTCTAGAGTTAATTAAAAATATAGTAGGTAATTAAATTAGAGTTGGTACTTGAAAATTTGAATCTTCGGGTTGAGGATGATAATTGTGTGCGGTGTAGAGAGATCGAGGTCGCATAGCTGTAGTTGAGCTAGTCTGATTTTGTATTGTTGTCATCGAGTACGACGGTGTTGTCGGCAAAACGAAAGACTTGTTTATCTCTTTTCGGAATTCGGTGGATGTATTCGTCATTCCTTTCACCTCAAAAGATATAGAAATAAAAGCCAATTAACGTTTCTTGTCTAGAGAGAATCCAATTTTACAAAATCTTAAAATTGAATATGTTTGAACTTTTGGTTTAGATACTGCTGGAAATTATAACGACTCCTATTGCAGATAAAATTGCAAACGCAAACTCCTCGTGAAAGCTATGTGGAAAACGCACTTTAGTATCGCCGGCGGCGTTCTTTGATTTCTTGCGCCGAGACTTCCGGTGTTTAGTGACCGCTGCTTGACCGGCTTCGCCCGCGTGATCCACGGCTGAAGCGATTTCGGGTTCCCGGGAGACGTGAACGCGCGTCTCAGCGCCGCGACTACTCGTTCGCATGGAGCCTCGGTATAAACGGAAACTCGCTGACACGCGACAAACCTACGTCGTGCTGACAAGCAAGCGTCTCGCTTCGTCGTTCTTCGTCGTCCTGGTGATTCGCCGGAAGACAACTGATCATCTGACGGCGCTCTCATGGCCAATGTAGATCCTCTGATTTTCGATCTTCACTTGACAATTCAAACCGCGGAAGATAACGAAAACACTTCATCGGAAATCGAATACTACTGCCATGTACTCGAAGTAAAACGAAGTTAATTTTCCGAGGCAGACTCGCTCGTAAAATACACATCTAATGTTCTCGCAATTGAAATCTAAACCTTGATGTTATTACACGCGCAACATTGAGTCATTATCGAGTCCATATTTCATTTCACGAACACCAAGCTTATTGCCAAGCTCATAATTTTTTCAGCTGCACGCTTCGCGATAAATTTGCACGATACAAGTCCTGAGATATATACAATACATTGCCTTCAAACCACAGGAATTCTTTTCATACACTGTAGTACCGAACATTTCGCATTCATAACAGGAAAAAATTCTTTTATGTTATCCTCGCTCTTGTAGTTTCGTTTCTCACGAAAACACGTTTATCATATATTGCCGCATGAGCCTTTGTGACAATTAAAATTAGGAATTGTTTGGAAATACAAGCACAACGTATAATTTATGAAAATAAAAAATCTGCAATGAAAAATTGAGGCAATTAGAAAACTCGCACAGTAATTCAACGTATTTAATATGTTAATATGTTAAATATTTTACTTTGCGTTATGATTCCGTTTTACTTCGGGGTTTAAATTGCTGACGCATTGACGTAAAATTTTTCAGTATGCATACGCGTATTTTAACAACTTGAAACATACTATGCATTACGTTACGTAATTGTTTCCTTTCCCGCAATAAGAAAATACAACAGTAATTATTAAGGTATATATAGCATGTCATCAGTTTTCCTAGAGATGTTAGAATTGTTAGAAATGTTAGAATTGTATTCTGTTAGAATACAAGAAACAAAAAGAGAAAAAAAAATGAAACAATGGCAAAGAGAGACAAAGACGGGGAAAATACTTGCAACGTGAAATAATTTTAATATATCAAACGACCTTATGCCGCGATAATGCGCTAATAAATATCAAAGAACTTTGCAAATGCTTATTGCGAGTGTTTTTTTACAGAGTGGGGATGCGCGACTTTATCTGCGCGCACGTGTTGTAGATTCTCTCAGTACATGATCGTGTATACGTCCCCACGTGCTCTCCAGTCAATGCTACTCTATTTACAAGCCAATCTTCCTGGTCTACGATTAATTCGAAATGATTCTTCCGGCTCTGCGTCTTCTCGCGCTGCTCGCAGTGGCATTAGGTAATCGTTTTTTTTTCCTTTTCTTTTTCAAGAACTATATTACGTTGCTTTTACGAGTACATCTCGTAAATAATATAGATTTTCTTTAAAGTTGACTTTAAAATAGTTGATGTTAATGAGACGTGGATATGCATAGTCAGTAATGCGTGACGGTGCCTGATATATATCTCGCGCGATTTCTTCGCTTTCAAAGATTGTATATTGAATGTTTTATATGGGCGGTGTATATTATGAATATTAGGCATATTATTTCCTTTGTGTATTCAATAATTTTTGGTAACTGATAGAATTTTCATATTTTAGGAATGCCATTGTCTTGCGAGATTACGGAGAAAAAAGATCCGACTAAGTCTGAAATGAAAAAGGATACTCTGCGATTAGTTACAGTGGTATATACATATATTAGATTTACATGAAAGTTTTGTCAGTATTTGTATGTTTTAGCACTCAGAGACTGACAAAACTTCAACAGATAAATAAGAAACGAAAACGGAGCTAAGTGTCATTATGATATTTCAAGATAAATATTTTTTCTCATATATAACGTACGCAATGTATGTTTTTGTCATTGACTTTATTTTTTCTCTTTTTCCACAATTTAACGCTTAACTCCGTTTTTCAATTTGATATACTTTAATTGTCATTAACATACATATATCGTCATTTCGTTCATTAAGATCATTCCATATTGACTGTTACATTTTTCATATTAAGAGCAACAAGTTACATGTTAAGAGAAAATTATAAATTGTATCAAGCATTCTTTTAATGATTTGCAGTGATGTAATTTGTCTCTCGGATCGGTTTAATTGTTCATAAATTTCTCTCTTTCACATCAGTATTAATCGATATCAAATAAAGTTTGTATTTTTAGCAGGCAAAGAAAAGAGACCTAAACGAGATCCGAGCATCTCTCCCACGTCTCATCAATTCATACTGCCTCATAGTCATTATCTTCAAAGCCAGCGACATCTATTGTAAAGTCGGACGAGCAGTTAAATTGTATTTGTGTCAGCATTAACATTATCACGGCAATAACAATCCTCTGTACGTATTTTTTTTTTATTTCAATTCTATTTAGAAAAAGCGATGACCTAGATTTTTATCGCTATTCAAATCAGCTCGTCAAATAAAATCTCGCATTTATCGGATGTGTATTTTACACGTTATCAAATGTCGTAATTGTTTTGCAGCTTATCGTTTATGTAGTGTATTCTAAAACAACTGTTTGATTTACCTCTCGAAAGATAGAATTAACGTCGCGAGATGAAAGAAATCTTCTTTCTGTTTATAGGTAGCAAGACATGGCGAAAGAGCACCCGAAACTACCTATCCGAACGATCCTTACACCAATGACCCCATGCTACCTTACGGTTGGGGCCAGTTGACAAATGTAAATTTCGCTTCTTTCTTTTCTTTGAACGAAGTTCGCTTTATGAAATGAATTTAATCATTATTAATTAAAACAGAGAGGAAGAATAAATCAGTATAATCAAGGTCTGTTTTTGCGAGAACGTTACAACGACTTCCTAGGAACCTCATACAGTCCCAACGTATTCTATTTACAAAGTACCTTCGTGGATCGTACGAAAATGTCAGCCATGTTGGAAGCTGCTTCTTTGTGGAAGCCTAATAAAGAACAGTTGTTTAAACCCGATCTACCTTGGCAGCCAGTTGTGCTCTTCTACCAGAAACAGTCGGAAGATACGGTAAAGTACTTCTGCAAACATCTGTCTAGACGATCCGATATCGCTAAAGACGTATGTGCACTGCAACAATAAATCATGTATTATGACAATCGCGTCTTTGATGTCACGATTCAACATAGCTACAACTGATGAATAGATGGAGAATTTCTTTTTACCAAAGTATTATGAATAGTGTGTATGTTTTGTAGCTTATGTTAGTATGGAATACTTGCCCGAGGTATACGGAGCTACGCGGTTCGGTGAACAATTTTTCAGAAGTCCAAGAAGTATATAGGAATAATGAAGCATTGTTCAAGGAGCTCACAAACTTTACGGGCATGCAAATTGAAAATGCCGACGATGTCAGTTCATTATACGCCACTTTAGCAGCTGAGGTTTGTATAATATAGCATTTGGAATTGTTATGGAAAATGTTAATGGTTTAGTTCATTTCCATGATTATAATCGCTAATCAAGTTATAGTAATTGCACAAGTTATCATGATCATATTATTGTTACAGGAAGGAGTAAATTTGACTTTGCCGGAATGGGTCAAGGATTATTATCCTGATAAGCTAATACCTCTAACCTTGTATTCTCTGAAATTTAACACGTATAACGACGATTTTCGCAGATTAAAAGGTAGTCCCTTGTTGAAAAAAATCATAAGTGACATGTTGGCGAAAAAAGAGGGCACTTTGCAACCTAAAGAGAGGAAAATGTTCCTGTTCATTGGCCACGATAGCACTGTTGTCGATTTGTTAAACACGATGTATATTTGGCACAATCAGTTACCGCACTATAATATCATGACAATGATTGAACTGCATGAAGACAAGGGCGAATGGAATGTTCAGGTGAGTGATTGCGGCTTGATCAATTTTCCAAACAGTTTAATCACTTTTCAGTCACTTTGAAATTTTCCTCTAGATCGGGAAAATTCTTGAGAATATTAAGAATCTTGAAAAATATAAATATAGAATATTTCGTATTTTGTGATTTTAATAACAGATTCGCCGGCTAATTCTTCGGGTTAATTCTCCATCGACGAAATGTTTGCTTTTCGTGGTAGATTCATTCTAAATTCTAGCGATTAATCTCTGATCCTCCTTTTGTAGATATTTTTACGGAACACGACAGCCCATGAGCCGTATCCGTTGACGATATCTGGATGTACCGCCGTGTGTCCTCTCGAAAAGTTCGTGGAGATACTTAGGCCGGTGATACCGAATAACTGGGACGAAGAGTGCAAGGTCGATGGCAATTTCGTAACACCACCAGCGCCACTTCCATAATTATAGAGATCGTTATTTGTCACAAATATAACATATCGCTATGTCACAATTTCACATATAATTGTATATTTTGCTCATACTGTAAATAATTATTAACACCATTAATGTTCACGATATTGACTTTCTTTGTGTATAAACTCCTCAGTTTATAAACTCCAGTGTATAAACTCCAAAAATTCAAAGTAAATATTGTACGGAAGTAATATAATTTTAAAGTACACAAACGTACTCCTTATCCAATCTGATGTCTGTTTTGCTTAGTAAAAATGTAGTAAACGTCAGTGGATTTCCAGACTGTTTTACAATTTAACAATTGCATCTGATTGATTATCTGAATCTGCAAAATCATCCTTTAACACTGCAACATTTGATTCATAGATCAATCAGATTCTAAATGCAAAGAAGAATTCTCTGATCGAGATGATTCAAGCAAATATCTTCTCTTCTCGTCGTTTCTTCGTAACTACTGTTCCAGGCTTGTGCTGTGCATCAGGATGATTGAGAAGCTCTGGTGGGCAAGTAGATATCGGACTAGCGAGGATGGTTTGTTTAAGATCGTAGAATAAGTGGCTATCATCCTTCGTACAGAAGGAAATAGCAAGACCAGCTTTACCGGCACGACCAGTTCGACCGATTCTATGTGTGTAGTCTGTAAATGATGAAAAGATAATTAACATAAAGTAAATTATGTACCTCTAAAATTCCTCTAATTATTATATATAATTAATTTTATGATATAAATTTTTTTTAAGAGAAATATCTTCTATAAAAAATTATTAAATGTATGCTCTATGACAATGATCGTAGATGAATAATAAATTTTAATGAATCTATACTTTTACCAAATGGTTTGAAAATTCATTCGCGATCTCCGGTACTCATATCAATAATTGCATAAGAAAACATACGAAAAATGTACAGTATAAGTAATTACCTTCAATAGTTTTAGCCATGTCATAGTTGATGACCATTGACACATCCTTAATGTCAATACCACGTCCAGCAACGTCAGTAGCCACCAGAATATCCTTGCTACCACTCTTGAGCGATGCCAGGGCATATTCTCGCTGTTCTTGGCCTTTACCACCATGCAGGGTGCAAGCGTTGTACTAAGAAATGACACGTTACCATGAACAATTGGTCTTTATAGTTTTTTATGTAATAGTTAAGAGTAAGTATTCGCGTAAGTTATAGAAAATGAGAAAGAAACAAAATACATACTCCTAACTTCTCCAAGCCTCTTGCCAAGACGTCAGCGCCCTTCTTCTGATTAACGAATATGATGACAGGTGGTTCGACGCCTCTGCTGAGTATCTCCATCAGTTTCTTACGTTTATCCGCTTCGCCCATAATATGAACTATTTGCTCGGTACGCTCAGTGGGTTTGCCAACACTGCCAATATATACGACCGCTGGTCTCCTTAGATACGTTCTCGCTAGTCGTTCCACGGCAGGAGGCATCGTAGCCGTAAACATCACTGTCTTAAGAGCACAATTACGTTTATTAAGACATTTACTTATAGTTTTATTGGGTAAAATTAGATGAAACACAATAATGTAATTTACTTGAATATTTAGCAACTAAGAAATAAGTGTAACTAATTCAGAAATTTCTCTTACTTGTCTATATTTTTTCTTCGTGTTATAATTGGCTAAAAGTTTCTCTTCGTTTTCCGCGTCCTCATTGTCTGGTTTTAGATTTGTCACAGGCATATACTCCAAAATTTTTTGAACGTCTGGAATGATAAATTTTTTATATAATGTCAAATGTGTGTGATTTTGAAATTGCATAATGCAAAGAATATATTATGAATCCTTGGCTTACATACCTGGCTCAAAACCCATGTCTATCATTCTGTCAGCTTCATCCAGCACAATATAAGTACATTGATTCAATACGAGATATCGATTTTCCAAAACATCTATCAAACGTCCAGGTGTAGCGATGACAATCTGGAAAAAAAAAATTAATTGAATATTTGAAATCAGTTAATTCAATTTATATATTATATTATTCACTTTGTAGGAAGAAAGTTGGTGAAATCAATCAGTAATAATCAAGGACGCAGGGACATACCTCACAACCCATTCTTAATCTGAAACCTTGTTCCTCTCGAGAGAGACCACCCACCACCACGACAGTCCGAATACCCAATGGCTGTCCAAATTTGTTGGTCTCTTCTTCTATTTGCTGTGCCAATTCACTACAATGAAATACATAAGTATAAGTATTGAGAATAAAAGTTAAGAAAACGGGATTAAGGAAAGCAAATAATACCGTGTAGGTGCTAAAATGATACTGTAGGGTCCTTGATCCGCCTCCTCGAGTCTTTCGATTTTTGGCAAGCTGGTAATCCACAGTAGCAGCGGAATTAAAAACGCGAGTGTTTTACCCGAACCAGTCTCTGCGACGCCAATAATGTCGCGATTCTGCAGACCGATAGGAATCGCCTGTCGCTGAATAGGCGTGAGATCTTTATAGCCAACTTTGTCGATAATATCCAGGATCTCTTTGGGAAAGCCTGACTCTTTCCAGGATCGAATAGGATCGGGAATGCGACCGCCCTTTATCGTGATATTGTAGTCTTCACGGAAAATACGCCAGTCGCGCTCAGTCATCTCGTTCAGTGCCTTCTCAGACCAGTGTCGATCATCCCACTTTTGCTTCTCTTCTTTCCGTTTCACTTTCTTTAATCTCATCCTTGAAAATAAAGGAACAAATACATTATCTTCAATATTTTAATGTAAATACAGACATTTTAATAATATACCTAAATGCAAGATCACTCAAATACTTTGTTATAAACATAAAAAGAAATATTATAAGCTCATATTAAAAATAGCTTATTTTTTCCATTAAGTTCAATGTTTTTTTTTACTATGACAAATCATTCAATAAGACTTACTTTTCTTGTTCTTTTTCAGCTTCTGTGCGTCTCTTTTCTAATAATTCGCCATAAAACTTGCTCTGGTCTCGCTTCTGCGCCTTAATATCAATACCCGCCAGATTACCTCTACCAAAGAACTGTACTTGGTGTCGTTCCTTGTAGATACTGTTATAATCTACAGAGGTGTCTTCTGAAGTATCCCAGTCAAAAACAAACTTACGATCATTTAGTCTCCTGACTCGACGCTTCTTTTTAATCAGACCTAAATATCGCTCCTTGATGGCCTCTACTTCTTTCTCCTTGTCCTTATCCTTGATCTCATCCTCGCGTGAACGCTGTGCTTCTCTTCTCCTGTTACAAAATATGTTTTTTTATAATGAAGAAAATCTTTAAACTGTATCAAGTTTTAGAACTATTTAGAAAGTAGCAGCAAACACAAATAGAAGCATACAAATGAAATACCTGTCTCTATCATCCCATTCTCTCTCTTTGCTGGTGTTGTCATTGTGAAATAGAGATTTGCGGTCCTCCTCCTGCTGTTTTCTTATCGCCTCAACTTCTTTTTGACGCTTTTCCAATGCCAAAGCAGCACGTTCTTCTTTACTAAGGAACTTGGGCTTGGCACGAGCTTCCTCCTCTGCTTTCTTTTTAGCCAATAGCTCTTCCAAGCTTAATGGTTCTTTCTTTAGTGCTAACTTGGTCTTATCCTCTGTTTCTTCTTCTTCCTTCTTGGCATCGTTTTTCAAATCCTTCTTTGAATCATCCTCATTGGCAAGTATAGGACTGTTTTTTCGTTTCTTGTCATCTTTCGATCTGTCCTTAATGTCTCTTCGTTCCCTTGAACGATCGCGATCCCTTTCTCGCGATCTGTCCCGTTCTCGAGATCGTTCCCTAGATCTGGATCGTTTTCTGTCTTTCTTGCGGTCTTTCGACCGGCTTCTACTGCGTCGACGTTCGCGTCGCTCCCGATCACGCTCACGTTCCCGATCGCGATCACGAGATCGACTTCGCCGAGCTGTTTTCTTATCGTGCGGCATTTAGAAGTCACTTGTGCAAAAAATGAAACTAAATCAAGGTTGGAACGTCCAGGAATGATGCTAATGCGAAGATTTTATCAGCTAAATTAAACAATTACGTTACTAATTACTATAATTGGATGATTAAATCCTTTAAAAAATAAATCGTAATTTAATATTAAACGTTACATACCCTTATTGCATTAAAATTATTTTACAGCTAATTTTTCTCCTTTAGACTAACCAAATATAACCTCTCCGTGCAAAATTACACGAATATATGCAAGTAGAACAACTTATAACTTCTTACGACGTAACAATCATAGCGGAAACAATCCTTATGAAAGATTCACACGATAACCCACATTCGTTCAACATCCAATAAGAACATCTGTTTTTTGGAGACAAAAATGTCACTAGCTAGCAATCATCTCCTATTGACTATTGAATCGCCATACATTGAATGTCGTACACAGTGTGTATCCTTCGTTAGAATAGAGGTTATGTTTATCTCGCCCCTACTGTGATTTAGTTACATATCGAATATTTTCAAGTTTAAATTTACCTTATTTCAGTTTTACATTTTTCACAAGAAAAAGGAAAAGTGTAAATTTAAAACGAATGTATTACTATTTGTAATTACAAAATGATTTGTCGAAAACTTTACCCCGCATTCAAATTAAAGAATGCAGTAGGTTATGTCAACGAAGTGAATCAACTTATTTGCAAAACACAACGTAAGTAAGAAATAAGTGCCTATATATAGTATTAATATTATTTTATCTTTTATTTTGTCTAGTCAATTTTTTAAGATCAAAAGTAGATTCAAGAGTTCGAATAAAAATAAAATAATCCTTTTAAGCTCTCGTTTTTTATTGCTGTGGTGCAGCCAAGAATGGGTACTCTCAGCTCAGATTACAACCTCCAGTGGCCAAATTCTGTACACAAGAGCTCCCTAAGAATTCCGATGTTTTTGGAGATATCTCAGGCAGGAAGTTTGAGCATGTCGAAATGAGTGAGCTTGAGCAGGAAGAAGAAAACTTTCGAGATAGTGAGGGTTGTATTCCACGTAGACTGAAACCTAGTATAGGCCGGTATGGACAAATGATTAAGTCGCATTTATCCAAGAAAGATATAGATTCTGCTCTGAAAGTGCTCGACATGGTGAAAGAGAATCGAGACAAACCCACCATGTACATGTATAATCTTCTGATCCGAGCTCTCTCTATTCAGGGTAACATAAAGAAGTGCTTTAGTTTATATAATAAGGCAAAGAAGCGTAGTTTGCAGCCAAACGCAGCTACTTACACCGCCTTGTTCAATGCGTGTGCCATGTCGGACAACAAGAAGTTGGCTTTGGAGCACTTAAACAATCTACGACAATCATTGTATGAACAGCAGTTTCCACTGAATCAAACACATTACAACGTGATGGTGAAAGGGTACGGCTGGCATAATCAGGTCGGCGAGGCGTTTCAATTGGTAGATGAGATGATGGACAATCGTATTCCTATAGGAGAAAGCACTTTCAACTCGCTGTTCCATGCTGCAATTGCCGATAAGGAGAATGGTCTGCGACACGCTTTGACGACGTGGCACGTAATGTGTCACTGGAAGGTAAAACGCTCTTTGTGTACGTACAATCTCCTTCTAAGGACAATAAGAGATAGCAAACTGGGAGATGTGAAAATTAATGATGTCCTACTCCCTGGATATGAGTCAACTAGGATTTTGTTGAAGGAAGGTGAGATGCCAGATTTGTTGGCGTCACCACCTTTTATAAGCACATTATTGCCATTAATACAGACAAAGCAGAGCAATGTTACACAGCACTCCCTTATTAAAACAAATGAGCAGAATCTTCCAGAGGAAGCACCGATAAACTTGAACAATGTGTTAACGAGCAATCGTCTACTTTTATTCGGTGGTATTGATGGGCTTCTAAGTCGAATGGCCGCCGACAATGTTAAACCAGATGCCAAAACCATTACGATGTTGTTGGATTTAATTCCGAACACAGTGTCCGCTGAAAATCTTCTTCTCAAAACTGTAGATAAGAATAACATCCAGTTGGATATTGATTTTTATAACATGCTTATCAAGAGGCGCAGCATGCGGCGTGAATACAGAGCTGCAAAGGTGAGTGTATACAGTTTCATATAATTTGTTACCATTTAATTATTTTGTATAATATAACTTTATAATTTAGGAGGTGATACAAATAACAGAGAAGAAATCACTAGCTCCCAATGTGATGACATTTGGAGTTCTGGCACTTGGTTGTCAAGAATATAACGATGCCAGAGAGTTCCTGGCAGGTATAGAGGCTTTCGGTTATAAACCCAATGTTGTAATCATGGGTACTCTTATTAGAACGGCCTGTTTTAATAAAAATTTAGGATATGTCTTATTTATGATGGAATACATGAAGGAGAATAGAATAAAACCTAATACAAAAATTATCCAAATGCTCGTGGAATTCTCAAACAATATGCAAAAATTACGGAAACCTAAGGTATATAGAATATACATAAATTTGTAATAGTTACATCTTGATTATATCATATTTTTCAATCGATACATTTTTAATATCCTGTAAGAAAAATGGCAGAAATGAAAGAAGATTAGAATAACACGTATATATTAAGTTTCAAAATGATTTATTCTTCTTATTTTTTTTCAGAGGAAGGAAAATATATTTTCCATTTTGTTGATTTTTTTTATATTTTTATCTTTTCTTTTCTATTTTACTTAATGTGCAGCAAATATTTTAAAAATCTCGATAAATTAAGAAATAATATATTCAAAATATGTACATATTGTAATGTGTTGTTATCTTTTTATAGGGTAAAGGTAAAATGCGGAGATTGAGGAACTTTGAGAAAAATATCTATAAATTTGAAGAAACATTATCTAAATGGCAAGAGAAAAATGAAAATAATTTGTAGCATAATAAAATATTATTTCCGCAACAGATATAATTTATTTGAAAAAAATTATGTATTTTTTAAGAACTTTATCTTGCCAGGTATTAGTTAAATGATCTTTAAAATCACATTTTGTAGCGAAATTTGTATATTTTTATGTAATTTAAAAAAGGAGAAAAATTCGACAAACAGGAAGAGTGAATTAACGAAGATATGGAGGACGAGTTTCTTGCGTCCAAGGTCGACTTCTGGTTCCGCTGCTGATAGCACGCGGTGGACATGTTCCGCGTATGCTGAGCTTATTGTAACCAGTAGGACCCGTTGGTTGAGCTCCGCACGTTTCTAATGCTACGAACTCGTCCACGTGAAGAGATGGTGGTCTCGAAGTATTAGGTGGTCTCGATCGGAAAGGATCAGCACCTCTACCTACTCCTCCACCCACAGGACCACCACGTAATGAATTGGTAAACTGACTTCGACCTCGTATCGGTGTCACTGATATTTACAAAAATAGAAAATTATTAGATAAAACGAAAAAAACCCGTTGAGGAGATCGATTGTATAAAACGTTAAAAATCTTACCAAACGGTTGTTTCGACTTGGTGATTGGAGAACTCTGCTTCTCCGTTCTATTTTCTTGTTCTTCATCCTGAGGTTTCGATTGCAAAGGTTGAGTAGCATCGTCGGGAGGTGCTTTTGAGCACAAATTCTGTGCCTCCGCCAACAGATTGAAGTCAGCAGGTAATAATTCAGTAGCGAGTGCCAACAGGTCTACCGTATTCTCGGTTTGTACCTGACTAGCTGCCACAAATGAGAATTTTGTGGACCGGCTTGGACTGTTATTGATCGGTCTAGCGCATCTTCGCGAGAACTGATTCAATAGAGCCTCTGGAGTAGGCAATAATGGTTCCAACATCTCTGGGATAGGTTCCTTCTCCTCTCTTTCTTCAGCCTTCAAAGTCTCCACCAGTTCCTCCGCGCGCTTTAGTTTCTCTAAGGGATGATCGTTTCTCTCCCAGGAGATCAAAGAGGCCAACTGCTGTGTACGTAAGTGCAGGGACCGCCTTTCCGAGTCAGAAGCGATCAAATTCTCCAAGAAAGTTACGGTTAAGCCTACAAGGGAGCACGTCTCGGGATTTTCTAAAGTAGACACATGATCCAACAATGCGCGTAAGGCGCCAGGATTGTTCTCCAGGCAGCTCTTCACGTGATAGAGACCGTAGTTATGACCGATGAGGGACAGGAGGACGTGCAAGGTACTCTCTATCACATCTAGCTGGTATTTCGTACTCGTGGCTAAAATTTCTATCAAAGCCGCGAGAATGGATAGTAAAGGTTCCTTACTGGGTACCGAGTGCGTCAGTTTCTTCTCAAAAGGCTCGTTGTCCTCCTGTACCAGGCTTAGACTGCAGTCGCACAGAGTCTCGAAGATACTGAGGATTTCATACTGTACACGCACTTCACCGTTGTTCTTCAAAGTGGAGCACATCAACTCGATGACAGGTGGGTACTTCTGGTCAGATTTTACTTGTGCTCTAGACGCAGGACTCGTCAGAGTCAGTAAAGTGGCCTTAACGGGCGCGTGTCTAGCTAGATCGCTAATTAGAGCGAGAATAGGAACATTATTTTGTGGAGTGGCCGCTAGGATACCATCCAAAAGACATCGCCCGACCAAAAGAGCTGTTGGCGCTGCCAGGTCACTCAATTGCTTACAAACCGTAGATAAAAGAAGCAAAACTTCTCCGTTCCAACTGGCACATAGCAGTCTAAGAGTTTCTGTGAGATTTGAAGCTTGTGCTTGCAGATGTGCGGACCAGAGCTTCCTCAGACCCAGAACTCTCGCCGCATCTTCGGTGGCGGTTTCTCGCGGTGTCAGGACAGGCGGTAATAGGCGTGTCAGCAGTTTCAAACCCGGCACAAAGTTGCACGGACTGAGCGAGACCATTTTCAAAACCTCGCCCAACATCTGAGTCCACAGGGATTTGGCAACGTTTCCGGAACCATCGGAATCGACGGCCTGAGTAAACATCAGCAGCGTGCCAACAATTTCCTCGGACAGAGATCGCACTGTCGAATTAGACGGCACAGCCTCGATCAAGGAGTAGACACCCAACAACGGGACGACGGCTGTGAGATCTTTAAAGTCTGTCGCCATACATTTGACGAGTCTCTCCAACAGCGCTCTGGTCAACTTCACGCAGGGCAGCAGGAGAGCCACCAACGCCATGCCTCTACGACCCGTTAGAGCTGCGCGATGAAGAAATGGCTGTTCGTAGAACTCGGACACGTTCGCCATTACGGTGATTAAGGCAGTGAGACCGTCGGCAGCGAAAAGTTGTGTCAAGGCGTTCCTGTACTTGAGTTCGACGTAAGGTTCCATGGGATCGATGTCGTTATTCGATGGGAAAATTAAATAATGCAGAATTCTACATGCCGTGATCAGTTGGCCAGGCAGAGACGCAGCTTTCTCCGCGCTCTTCCTGATAATCGTCACTAGAGACGAGACGTCGCTGTAGTCCCAATGAGAGGCCTGAGCCGCGGTCGTCAAGTACGACGTCACATCTCTGAGGACGGCGTGTTCACGAGCCTTATCCAACATTAATTCCGCACGATTCTGCAGGATCTGCACTCGGTCAGAATAACGGACGATAGCGGAAATCACTTCGGCGGCGAACTCACAGAGATTGGAATCTGCCAAATAGGGGATCAAAATGTCCATGAAATCGCCCAACGGCATTACCGTGAGAATGGCGCGCAAGCCGTCGGGAAATACGAGGAAGGAATGCAGTCGTTTTAGTGCCATCCAATCGTCTGGAGTCTGTTTCAAGCGAATCAAACATTGCACGACTTGAAGACGCCACGCTAAGATGCAACCGGCGCCCGGTAATTCGTACTTCAAGGCCTTCAGCATCAAGCGTACTACCTCGGCCTCTTTTAGCAAATAAAACAAGCCTTCCTTCGTGTCGGAGAGATGCAGAAGAAATCGGCGTATCAGCTTGATTACCTTGAAGTCGCAGTCGGGAGAGGACAATGTCAGCAAGAGGTGAAGGGCCAACTTGTGATATTCGAAATAGGCTATCAGATGGGCGCGAGGATTGCGAGTATGTTCTCGTTCGAACTCCATTTGAGCACCGGCCGGTAGTTGGCGTTTAGGTTGCGCCATCAACGTTGGCGCACAAACGTAGGCGTTCATTAGCTCGGCCAAACCGAGCTCGTCGAATTTTTTCGTCTCCTCCAAGTACTCGTAGACGTGGACTTTACGTAGAAGCGAGCTCAGGGCATATTTCAGTCTAGCTAGTTTCACCGTGTCCAACATCGTCAGCGCATTCCTATATAGATTAATCTTCGAGTTTAGGAACTCTTGCACAATCACCGGGCTAATAAGCGCGGCGTCGAGGGCTCGCAAAGCGGAAAGTTTTACCGGCAGCGCCACGTTCTCGCGCATACAAAGAGACAGCAACTTGGACGGCGCCTCGACCTTCAGCAGAATCTCCGGACCAATAGATAATCGACAGAGAGCTTCGGCTAAACGCACCCCTACCTTTACGTGCCGCACTTTGTACGCTGGTTGTGGTTGAGCTCTAGCAAGTTCCATGTCTAAGCCAGCGCTGACGATGTTTGTCAACTCATTGACATTGTCTGCGCTGAAGTCGAATGGCCCTAATATGGCACATAGAGATTCGCAGTTGTGGACGAACGTTTCTTTCTCTTGACCAGACGCGTTATGGAAGTGTGAGACTGATTTGGACAATGGCTGAAGGATTTCTCTGATTTTCAATAAAGTTTCGTGACTCACGCTCGAGTCTTCCAGATTGCCAGGTTTCTCTAGACTCAGTAGATCGGGCGACATCAGTGCGTATATCTCGTCAATCTGCACGGTTTCACATTCGAACTCAGCCGTAGATGGTACATCGTCAGTCATTATGTCTTCATCCGATAATATAGGCTCGAACGGCTCGCCAGTCTCAGGTTCGACTGCTTCCTGCTGTTCCGCTTCCTCTTCTTCGGCAGAGATAGACTCGGGACTCAAAGAGATCAAGGATTCCGTAGGGGGAGAGGAAGGCCGTTTCGACGGTTTTTCGCCTGTATTGCAAGATGCTTCCTCTTCCCATTGTGTTGATTCTACTTTCTCGGGTTCTGGTGCGGTAGTCCTGGATGGTTCTACAACTTGAATTGGTTGAACTGGTGGTGGTGGAGTTGCAGCAACACATATTTCCTGTTGACAATATAGGATTTTAAATTTTGAGTATAGAGATACTATGTTTGAAAAATAAAACTTCTAAAAGATGTCTTAATAATCTTAAAACACCTTTTAAATGTTTAAAATATTTTCATGTCCTTGATCTAAGAGTATTTCAGATAGTTAAAAACATCTTTCAGCATCTTTATAATGTTTATAGACATTTGTGTTATTTGAAAAGTTGGCTTTGGCTAGATTTTATGATTATAAAATCGTTAAGTAAAATTTTTTACCGTAGAATTCGTTTGGTGTTGGTTCTCGTAATACCATTCAGGTTGCTGTTCCGAAGGAGCTTGAGCAGAACCTTTAGGATTTTCTTCCAGGGTACTGACGCAAGCAGTAGACCCAGCTGTTGAATTGTTGACTTCCTGAGGGTTGTTTAATGATTTTGTCAAGGTACCATATACTGCCAGTGTTATTGTAGTATACCATCCTCTTAATACCAACCCATCGGTTGGTATCTGTTTCCGTTCACATTCAAGCTGAATATGAATGTTTTGCTTATATTCCAAACCACCCAGAGATTCGAAAGTGGATGCTCCAGGTTTACTGAGATCATTCACAAAAAACTCAATTTCAAATTGAGAAGGATTGGTTGCTCTGAAAGGATAATCCTTTTTGATTGATACTGAATATTCTTTACAATAAATTTGAAGAAAATAATATTGAGATTTTTAATTCTTATATTCAATGACCCTTTTAAAAAAAACTTCCTTTTATTGATAAAAATATTTCTCTAAATGTGCTTATAAGCCAATCAGAAGATTTTGAATAAGATAGATCTCTACAAGTTTTTAAATGATAGAAAAGAATAAAGTTTTTATGCATTACCCAAGACGTACTCCTCCTGGAAAGTCTGCTTGAACTCGTGCACCTAATGGTATTATTCTTACTTCGCTAATATAAACAGGTTTAGGAAATTGTACCAAATCCAAGTTCAATTCCTAACAATGAAAAAAGGATTACGGTAATTTAAGATTTAATGATTCATTACCATCATTAATTTAATATATGTAAACAAACCTCTGATATGTCATGGGAGAATGTGTCAAAGAACAATAATTCAGTATTATCCATTTTTATCGTCAATAAACTTATTCACATCATATAATCTTACCTACAACAATTATTTCTTTTTAATAATCAATTAGGTAATAGAAATTTCTCACTCTACTTTTACTCCAACTCACTCATTTTCATTCATTCTTCTATATCCTTGTTTTGAGGTTTTATAGTTATTTTTTATTTAATTCTGTATAGAACCAGAAAGAGGCCATGAGTCTGACTTTAGTGGCCGGAGCTAGATGCATTTTCGAGACGCCATCTAACAAAGTGCGCCTTTACTACGTTCATTAGACGCATTTTTGCGATGGTAATGATAAAATGTGCCTGGTTCGTGCCCGTTGTACTTCGGTACAATGATAGTAAGTTAGAAAAGGACAGATGTCCAATCGCTCTGTTCTTGTCTCACCACTGACCATGCGACGTAGGCACGAAGTCAGCTAGCGACAAACTAAAGGTTAGTTTATGATGGCCGTAATCCGTTAACTTATGTCGGAACTGTAAAAAATTGACTAATCACAGTCGATTATTCTTCTATAATTCGACTATGATTGGTCAATTTTCTACAGTTCTGGCATAAATTAAAGAGTCTACCATTACCATCGGATCAATCGTATAGTAGACTCGTTAATTTTTTTAGTTCGAAAGTCTTTGCTACGAGTCGCTACTATCTGCATTCTTTCCGTTTTCAAATAGTGGGATTCAATAATGAGTTTCACTTTTATTTTTTAACACGACTGAACAATATGCTAGATAAAAATTTTTATTTTAATTTAATAACAAGAAATAATATTTATTTAAAAGAAATAAATCGTACGTAAGGAAGATCGTATTTAATAAGAAACAATCGTACGTATGACTTCAGCCGTTCGACTGCTGAATACAAATTCACACATATGCGATTCTTTCATGGTTCTGTATTCGTTTTCGGTGAAGTAGTGTCTTTATTCTAGAATTACTTGTGTGTAAAATCATAACCTATATTAACTTCAACATGAGTGACGAAGATGAATTGCTTACAGAGAATAAAGATCGGGTAAATTTTTAGTATAAATTTTAAATGAATATTATTTAAAAAAACATCAATTTGCATTTTAGGACCAGATACGAGAGGAGCTGTCACATATGAGTTTTGAGGATCTTCAGAAGTTAAAAGAGAGATTAGGATCTAAGATATACAATGAGACATTATTTGGAAAGAAAAAGGAGGTAAAAAGAGAATTTAAGCGGAAAAATAAGAATAGACCACGTGAGATGTCTGCTAAGATACCAGTACCTAAATTAAGAGAGGTAGTCAAAATAAAAAAAGTCTTAAACCGAGATCCTAGATTTGACAGCTTATGTGGTACATTCGATGAGAAGGTCTTTAAACGCTCCTACGGGTTTCTTAGCGAACTCCGTGAGAATGATCTTAATGCTTTAAAAAAAAAGCTAAAACAAACCACAGATCCAAAAATTCTAAAGAAAATAAAGTATCTCATTCAAAGGCTTGAAAATCAATTAAGAGAGGAAAAAAGACTGAAAGAGAAAGAAGAAAAGAAACAACATGAAAAGAAGGAGGTGTTAGCATCTATCAAGCGAGGAGAGAAACCTGTTTTCAAAAAGAAATGTAAGTTAAAATTTTTAATATTATTCTGGTTCATTTTCACTTGTTATTTTATCATATTTTTCTCTCAGCGGAGAAAAAAGTTCTGGACCTTGTCTCACAGTATGAAGAATTGAAGGAATCAGGTAAACTAAAGAAACACATTAAGAGACTGCGGAAGAAGAATATACGCAAGGACCGAGCAAAATTGAATATGGACGAAGTGGAATAAAATAGATGTGTATATATGTATGTACATATATATATATATATATATGTACAAGTATGTAAGCAGAATTATGCGTGAAGACGAATGTACGTTACAAGATTTTGTTAAATGTAATTAAAAATATTAGTTACTGCTAATATTACGAATAAAAGTTTACTAGTTAATTCTTACTTCACTAGATGGCTCTCGTTGTATAGATGTTCACGTATATATTGTCTAAGAGGTTAGGTATATGTCGTTAAAAGAACTTTCACAACCCAAACTCTTCAAAACTGCCTATTTTGACAATTAAATGGCAAAAAAAAATAAGTAATTTCTGTTGTTAGCTAATTAATTGAATTTCTCAGGATTTTTTATAGATTAATATTTTAACAACCATGTTAGAATAATTCTTATCATAATTCTTATCATAATCAAGTAAATAGTATGAGAAAATATTTTATTATCAGCATTTACTGATATATTATAGACAAAGAAAGTTTGTTAAATTGGACGGAACAATGAGTAACTCGATAGAGGTAATCATTATTTATAATCTGACATTATTTATAATCATTATTTATAATGTGACTCAGTATAATAACTGTGTAGTTTAACATTCCTGTCAATTCTTCTTACAGCTACTTGAACCTCCGCCTATTTGGCCTGATATTGAATTAGAAATGCGAGAATACATCGAATATCCTGAACGATTACCGATACATCAACTAAATAATGCTCAATGTTATTGGCCACGCAAGCCAAATGTTCTTTCACTCTTAGAATATGATGTAGCTCCAATCGGTACAACACTAAAGTTTGATCGTGATCCAGTAACAGGAAAAATTTGTGAGATGCAAGAAATAATCTTACAGGGTGCAGGAGAAACTGCAAGAAATTCCATGTCCATGACTCGTGCACCTGGACCACTCATGGATGGAGTTCGAGGTACTTTGATCTTGACATGCTAAAACTATAATTAAATTAAATTTTAAATGATTTAAATTTTAACAATACCATTTAAGCCAGACATATTGTACATATCATCCTGAACTAATTTCTTTAGGTAATCCTAGTAATATCCCATTTTGGCCTGGTGGTTTTGATGAAATTAAAGTACCTGAAAGTGATTTTGTGGAAGATATTGATTTTGAGAAGAATTTAAGGACATTGGCAAAAGGATTCAGCTCGGGTCTAGAATTTAGAAGTGACGGTTCTACACCAATCAATTGTATCGAGAGTACAGAGGAAATGTTTATTCCATCAGTATCAGAAAATAGTGAATTAAAAATTAATAATGATAATATCAATTTAATGGCTGTCATACATGAGGAAGGAAATTCGCTTGGTTCATGGTTGCTAACTGAGGAAATTAAGAAAGAGAGCGTGCTACCTCCAAACGGTGATATTCTCTCTATAGAAGACATCTCTGCTTTGCCTGACGAGATAAACATACCAGTTTTGAAGATATCAGAGACACGGTCAGAGCTGGCGAAAAGCGAGTGGGCAGAGCAGTTGGACGTGTCTGCACCAGTGACTGATTTCGACAAGAGAGTACCTGACCCAGCAATTAAATTTGAATATGAATTAGACACTTTTCAAAAACAAGCCATCCTTAAATTGGAGGAAAACTGCAATGTGTTTGTTGCTGCGCATACGTCTGCAGGAAAGACTACTGTTGCAGAGTATGCTATCGCGTTGAGTCAAAAGCATATGACGAGGTATCCACCAAGTTATTTGCTAATATATCTGTTATAAGTAATCAGACACTAGTTCTCTAATTTTGAATTTTTGCTGTTTTAGGGTGATTTATACTTCTCCTATTAAAGCACTGTCGAATCAGAAGTATCGCGACTTCAAGAAGAAGTTTGAAAGCGTGGGATTATTGACAGGCGATTTGCAGATAAACCAAAACGCATCGTGTTTAATCATGACAACAGAAATCTTGCAGTCAATGTTGTATTGCGCGTCGGATGTCTTGCGAGATCTAGAATTTGTGATATTCGATGAAGTGCACTACATTAATAATGAAGATGTAATTAATGTTGCTTTCACAATGTTTCCACGATTCAAGCATTTCCATTGAATATTGCTGTATACTTTTAGAGAGGTCATGTATGGGAAGAAATAGTCATTCTTCTGCCACAGACTATTAATATAGTAATGTTATCTGCGACCGTACCGAATCCAATAATATTCGCGGATTGGGTCGGCCGCATCAAGAAACGAAAGATGTATGTGATTAGTACCCTGAAAAGACCAATACCTCTTCTGCATTATTTATACACCGGAACTGACGGTAAGACTAGGGATGATAAATTTTTGGTGCTCGATGGCAATGGTCAGTTCTTATTAGACGGGTAAATCATTTCTTTCTGTCTCTATGTAGTTTTTGTTCTTGAGAAGCGTAGTGTATCTCAATATTTGCGATAATTTAGATGGTACAAAGCGACGAGCGCATCCGACAAGAAGAAAGAGAAAGCTCCGAAGGATTGCAGAAGAAAAGTTCAAATGACTCCGAAACAAGAGGAAGTCTTATGGAGAGCGTTTACAAGCCATCTTAACAGGAATGTATGTATAACGTAGCTTGTTCTACGAAATCTTGAGATTGTCATTTCCGTTTACGTAACATCGTCAATTCTACAGGATATGTTACCTGTTGTTGTGTTCACGCTGTCGAGAAAGCGTTGTGATATGAATGCTGCCACATTGAGAAATCTCGATTTGACAACCGCGAGGGAGAAACATCAAGTGCACACGTTCTTTCATAATAACATAAAAAATCTGAAGGGTAGCGACAGGGAATTGCCGCAAGTACTTATGATGCAAGAACTCTTGCAGAAAGGAGTTGGTATTCATCACAGCGGGATACTACCAATTCTGAGAGAAATCGTGGAGATGTTGTTCCAGAGTGGAGTAGTGAAGGTAGCGTCGTAGACGTCGGAGAGCAAGGAGATGCGACGTCTCAGCAAAAATAATGAAATCGCATTTTACCGTGTTGTAGTTACTGTTTGCGACGGAAACCTTCGCCATGGGAGTTAACATGCCAGCGCGCACAGTAGTGTTCGATTCGATACGAAAGTATGACGGCAATCATTTTCGTACTCTTTTCCCGACAGAATACATACAGATGGCCGGTCGCGCCGGCCGACGAGGTCACGACACCACAGGGACGGTAATAGTGATGTGCAGGAACGAGGTGCCGCATTTCAACGACTTGAAACCGATGATGTGTGGGGGTGCACAGACATTGGAATCCAAGTTCAAAGTCACCTATTCCATGCTTCTGAACTTGAGAAGGGTGAACGAATCCGTCACAGTCGAGGCGATGATGCGCAAATCGTTCAAGGAATCTCCGTTGGCCTCGCAGGAAGCAGCGTATATGAACGAGCTACGAAAGTTGGAGCGGCAGTTATCGTATTTGCCGGATTTTACCGATATGCAGCAAATGCTCTCGGCTTTTTACCACGTGGCGGTGGAATATCTAGAGGACATCAAATGTCTGAATCCCTGCATGTTCGAATCTAAAAAAGCGACGAAGAGCATGCCCGAAGGCAGAGTACTGATCGTATCGTACGCGAATCATTACAACAAGATAGCTCTATTGTTGCAGATTGTGAGTAACAAAAATTCCACTCAGTACAAAGTGTTGATACTCGTGAACGCGGATGGGTCGGATTCCGAGATTGCGGAATTCAAGGATCCGCAGATCTACGAAAAATGGTGCGAAATGATTAATCTGACTAAGAAGCGTATATTTGTCCCGCACAAAAATCCATCGCACAAAGTCTTGACTATATCAGCGTGGCATATCTTGGCGGTAACCAAGCACCAAATAAAAGTTGATTGTTCCTTGGTGCTGAACGACTGGGAGAAGAGACAAATATCACGATTCAAGTAAGAAACAACAGTACGAAGTAATGATTCTGTTATTAATTCGCCCTTCTCTTTCTCAGAAACGATCCACCAGGCCAGACATGCCAGATAGCGGTTCAAGAATTAACGTCTCTGTCGTTGAAAGCCGGCATGTCGCCTGATATTTTACGTCCGTACGCTGAATTCTCGCTGAAGAGTGACTTACGAGTGACCGTGAAACACAGAGATCACCTGAAGAATATTCTCGACGACATGAGATGCACGGAAATACCAAATTTTGAGGAACAATTTAGGCCTGTATTCGAGCGTAATCAAATCGAGAGCAAAATGCGGCAGCTGCAGCTCAAACTCAGCGACGAAGGAATGGCGTTGTATCCGGACTACGTGAACATGCTGGCGCTTCTCAAATATTTGAGATACATTGACAGCGACGAGAGAGGTTTGTATCATTATGAGAGTGTATCGATTCGATTCATTCGCATGTAAACGATATCTATTTATTATATGTAAACACGATTGCAGTCGCTCTGAAGGGAAGAGTCGCGTTACAAATGGGTAGTAACGAATTGCTCATAACAGAATTGATTCTAAAAAATGTGTTGACCGTCTTACAACCGGCGGAAATAGTAGCGCTATTATCGGCAGTGATCTTTCATCAACGCACGGATGTTGAGCCGAAACTCACACCGAATTTGACGAATGTAAGTATCAGCAAAATGCTTTTTTCTAAATAATTAACAAACGCAACAAAGACCAGCGAAAATTGAATCGAAACTTTTGGCATGCATAGCCGCTGAATTTTGATTCGGATTTTCGTCGGCCTTTTTACACTAATTTTAGTAACAATTGCAAACTTAATGTTTCTTCAACGATTCGCGTTATCTGGTAGGGTCGCGAAGTGATGAAAGAGGTGCACGCCGAATTGGAGTCACTGGAGCAACGCTATCAATTGTCAACATTGTCGCCATTGAACTTTGGCTTGATGGAAGTTGTTTACGAATGGGCACAGGCTAAATCGTTTGCGGAAATCATGAAGAAGACAGACGTCCAAGAGGGTATCATAGTTCGTTGCATACAGCAACTCGGCGAGACTCTGCGAGATGTTAAAAACGCGGCTGTGACGATAGGCGATCCTGTTTTGAAGGAAAAAATGGAGGAAGCCTCAACCGCGATCAAACGTGACATAGTTTTCGCCGTGTCCTTATACACGCAAGACTAAAGATTATTCGAATAATGAATATTATTTTTAGTACTCCGGCGCAAATTATTGTATTTTTATATAAATTATAAATTAAGAATATCACGAGTACATAAGCATATAAGAGGTGTTTTCTGTCCGTACATACATAGATCATAGCATTTAGAATTTAGTCGCATAAGATGTCGTTAACAGTCGTAAAACATTGTTCCAATAAAGTATCGTAGTATTTATAAGTATCATTGTTACATTTCGGGTGGATAACTTCCTTTTATGGATACAGAAGTATTAGTAGTAAATGAAGCGCTAACAGGAATTCGTTGAGAAATTCTTAACAATACCGTCGAACAATCTGTATACTAATTTACAACGCTTACTTGTATAAAATATAATTGGCTGCGTTTAGCAGAGAAAGTTACTTTGCAACTGTTGTAAAATTCGTGAATTTAATTGTACGCAGCTTTTTCTGCTGAACGCAGTTAATACTCTACATCATCATAAGTGATATTACAACGCGCGCTGGTCTGTATTATTAAGATTGCCTTGGCCTTTGTTCAGTTCAGAGATACATGCCCATTGTCCCTCGGAATTCTCACGCCACAGGGAAACCTTGTTGTCGCCGCCACTGACCGCCAAAATCCCTCCTGTCAACGACCAGCTGACGTTCCAGATCACATCGTCAAACACATTAAGGACGTTCGGTGTCCAACTAGCGTAATCGTTGGACGTCCAAACGACAACGCGACGATCTTGCGAGCAGGATGCTAAAGCGGCTCTAGATGGACCAACCGCAGGTGCCCAAGCTACATCTCGAACCTGCAAATTCAACGAAGAACATCTAAATAATAAGACTATGAATAATAAGACTATGAATGATTAAGAACATTTAAATAATATTGCGATGTACAAAAATGTACTGACATATTTTCACTAGAGTCTTATATTGCCTTGTTCAGAATTGCACATATCCGAACCGTGAATTGAAATGGAATATTTGAATATATGTGTTTGTTACAAAGTTAGATATCAAAGTAATTTAAATTTGTCGATTGTCAAATCAATAGAAGTTGGATAACGTACACATTTAGGTATCCGAATTCGCATTGCAAAACTAAGTTTAAATCTCGATAAATACTTTGGATATTCGAATAATCTGAGCAGACGTCCAATAGACGTTTGACCTATTTTTAGCACTCTTGTGCGAATTTGATCATTAAGCCATAGGGGATTTAAAAGCAAATAGATAATCCACCCAAAAATAGATAAAAAAGTAAATGAAAATATACATCTTAATGTTTAATAAAATCTGCCCAAGTGCTGGAAACAGGTCGACTGGTGGCTGCAGGATGTTTTATTCTATATATAAACTAGTTTCTATTCCGATCAAAATGTATACCCAGTCGCTATGCGCTTCCAACTTGTTCTCCTCCACCCATCTATCGCCTTCTTCTTTCCATATTTTCACTAAATTGTCACAGCCACCGGTGGCTAATCTCTTAACAGGACCGCTCCTCTGTTGCGTCGCATTGGCGTCGAAGCCGGAATCGATCGCAGGGCACCAACTGACCGCGTTACAACCGATTGTGTGAGCGTTCGGTATTTTTTGCGTGTGCCAAGCATCCCCGGTGTTTGTGAGAATAGAGATCGATCCATCTGAGCTGCCACACGCCAAAATCAGACCAAATTCGTGCGGCGCCCACGCGACGGAATTTACAGACGAATCATGACCTGTATGTTCGTACACCTTTGTCCATTCTCCGAGTTCTTTCCAAATGATCACTTTCCTGTAGAAACGTACAAACATTAGTCAAATTGTTGAATTTTATGCATTTATACAATTTTATTGTTTAATTAATGTTAAATTTAAGTTAAATTTAATGTTAAATTTTATATATCAATGCCTGGGGGAAACACATACTTAATTCAGAGCATTCTTATTATTTTTAAATACAAATATTTTTAAACTTTAATATAAACTTTAATATATAAAAGATATATAGTAACTATAGAGATATTAACGACTGGATAGCATTGGATGCAGTTTATTAATAACTAGAAACAAGAAATGGAATATGTGTGATTAAGGAATATAAATATAAATCAGATCCCTTTCGTAGCTATGTAAGCTGAAGGAAAATAAATACATATCTCTATTTATAATATAAAGTATATGTTGAGAATATCTACATATTCTATGTTGTGTAAAAGTTTAAATATTCATTTTTAAAGACCAAAACAAATAAGAATATCTAGGATCAGGTATGTGCCCAGGAACTGATACTCTCATCTTACTTGACGCTGCATTGTACAGAAATATGCTTATATAATTATCATAATCACACAATGCTGAGAGATTGCCAATTTTTGTAGAAAATTGTAAAAATTGGTCAAAAGGAGCATTAATAAGACGATACATTTGTTGCAGATTGTCAAGACACTACGAGATATCGTCAAATTGACAAAAATCTGTGGAAAGTCTGGGTAGGAGAGAAGACCAGTACAACTATGCACCTGTCGTAACTGCAAGATGCTAAAAGATTCCCAAACTTAGGATGCGCCCATGCCACCTGCCACACTGGACCGATGTGGCCCTTCAGCTCGGCGACCAAGCTCTGAGTGCCGTTCTTCAGGTCGAATATCTTCACCGAGTTATCGCTGGAACAAGTGGCTAACCTCAAACCGTAATAATCCATTTCGGCATCGTGGATCATGTCCTCGTGGCCCGTATCGACGGTGTTTAGAACGGACACCATTGTGAAAGGACTTCACGCTTACACGCAATGCTGATGGATATCGCAGCAAAACTGAAACGTAAAGAGTGATTACGAAGCCGATCGTGAGTAAAATTGAGGTTATGTTGATTCTGTCACTACGTGGAAACTCTCTCTCTTTCTCAATAACTAATTTCAGACATGCGCCATTCTCATTACGTGGAAGCATATGCGCGCGCACCCAGAGTTTCGACTTTGATTTTCGATTGATATCGAAGTTCACTCGATTAGCATCGACTCGATTATATGATCGAAATGTACGGACCTAAGTTCGTTTTGCGAGATCGTTCTTTTCGCGCTGGGAATCGAGGCGACCGGTTGTACGCTGAGGTTCTTCGGAAAGAAAAGGAAAATAAACGCACAGCGTAGAAGGTAAAGTAATCTAAAACGAATAGTCTTTTATCCGTTACTTGGTGTGCATGTAGCGTCAGGTTGAATCTGAAATTAAGCTCGGTTTCGGCCTCAAATAATAGTCACATCAAATATCGGCGTCGGTCAGCCATGTTTAACCTTCAAAGTAAACGCGCGACGGGAACACGAGCTGGATACGTTTAAATATCGCGTGATTGTCTGCCCAACTTTAGTCAAATTACGCGCGTCTTACAAGCCTGTATAACAAAGAGAGAGAGAAAGAGAAAGAGGATCGAACACTCACTGCCACGAAAGAGAACGGTGAGTGTCACAATCTGGAAGAAACTATTCGCGTTATTGCGAGATACTTGAAAGACTGCTTGGCAACTATTGACGAGATATACGCATAAGTATACGTAAATCTTGTTTATACAGCTAAGCGGATACGGTAATTTCACCCAGTGCGCTTAAAATACGCACTTAATTAAAATAGCGCTTACATATAGCGGATAAATTTCTCTCGCTTACATAGTTAACAGCGCGTTTCGCAACTTTCCGTTGCGAAAAAACGAAAACAATCTGCGAGTCATGCGGCCGAATTGGGCGGAATTAACGCGATCGATTCTTTCAAACAGAATCTTATCATAGAAAAGAATATATTTGTACACACTGAAAAATTCATTAAGTAAATGGTACGAGTATTTCAGAGGCTTACATATCCACGAATCTATCCTATACGGCACAAATGTCCAGGACACCTCTTGCAATAAATATCTTTCAGACGAGGTATCTTTTGAACTATTGTACTGTATGAAAAGTAAGTCATAAACATTAAATCTGTTAAAAATATTGAGTCCAAGCAAGTTTAATATTTCAATGAAGAATATTAAATTAAAACAAAAATTCAGTTTGCTATGTTTCTTTTTTCAAATTGATGAGTATATTTTAAGTGTAACAAGAAAATATACTTTGTTGAAAATAAACATTGCTGAAAAGAAGGAAAGCAAACTGAGCAACCGGTGTTCTTAGCAGTATAGAAGGATATTTTTCTGTGTGTACATTCATGGTATTTGTTAAAGACAGTTGAGAGAGATTTTCGCGCTCCTTGCGAGCATGAAGGCATTTCAAATGATTCTCGCGTATTCAACGTTGCTACACGTGTACATATCGCGGCTATTAAACCGGTTGTTTTCTCCGTTAGATTGGAACCTGCGTCGCTTCCGGCTGGTCTTCCTGCCGATAAGACAGGTAGCCGCACGTGTATATACACACATGGAGCATGCCGACACGAGGATGTATGAGACGCGCGAATGCACGCATGGAGAAGGTATGTACACATAGTTACGCATACATTCACACACACACACACACACACACACACACGACGATGTGGAGATCTACTGTATTGCCGGCGCGGAATGGAGCCGGCGACTATAAAATTTTCAATATGCTGTACGGCCGAGTGGCAGTTGCAATTAACGGTAATTACGTTTGTCCCCCGGGCCAGCGGTACGAAATCACAGCGCGGGAATTGTTTATCGATCGCGAGGGTGCGGAACGATACAACGAGGCGACGATCTCGCGCGTTTCGAGTATAAACGTAAGCAAACGCCCCACGGAAGCGAGGCGGAAATTGATTTCGCGACGAGACGTCCCGCCTCGATGAGAACGACGACGGCGATGAATCGCGAGATTTCTCGAGTGCGTCGCTTAATGGCGAAACAGCGACCGCCTATTTGCGATCGTCTTTGCGCGAATCCGCGTTGCATTTAACGGATTATACCACTTATATGCGACAACGCGCTCGCGACAGGTAGCGACGTAATTATCGGAATGATATTGCGGCTGAGAGGAGACGGGGAAGATTGACAGATGGCCGATGAAAGTTATTATAATTACACGAAGAGAATATTATAGCTTCTTTTCACAAATAAATTCTCTTCAATTCCGTTATGTATTTAGTAGTCTAGAAATGTATAGAGACTGTATTAATAAGATCTATCTTGCTAACTATCTGGCACATTTTAATCCTTAAAATAGCAATATTAATATACATATGGAATGAAAGGATAATGAATTACTTCTGAATTTTCCGATTTATTCCTTGGTTACAAAACTCTATGATAAATTTTACTATAAAATTCTCTCCGTACGGGAAATTGACTTTTCAGAAAGATTATTTTCTAGTTGGCTCATTGTTATAATAATGGAACATACACAACATTAACTAAATATAAAACTGCATGCATTAAAATCATTAATTCTATTTTTATATGTACGATTGACTTTCTCACAAGAAAAGAATTTTACAGCAAACATTGCTATTAGTTTTGTAATAGAGTTATCGACATTTTGCCATAACTGACTATTTTTTCATTTTATATGTGCTGCTTATATTTTAAGAACTGAAATGTAAATTGCTCTTAAGGTAAAAGTACTAATATCTGGACATTCCTGTTGTTTCGGTTTATGAATGTCTAAACTTTCAGTGTATAATATGTATGTATATTCTATATAGTTTAATTAAATATCCGTGTTTAAAGACCAAAACAATATGAAAATTTATCTGAAAATATTTCCAACAAAGTTTACTATGTTTCTTAGTAAAATAGTCCTTACTGACAATTCATTGTCCCCTACACTGCTAGAAACATAACAAAATTGAAAAGAATTTATGTATAAAAAAAGATTATAATATATACATTTCCTACGTGCAGTACAGGGTGATGATCGTAACTGACGATGATCCAAAAAAAGAAAAACATGAGTATAACATCTGAATTGCTTTTAAAAATTGTTCGGGTGTCGATGGTCGAAAAGATGGAATGTCCTTCGATATGCTCGCGCGGTCGGTCGAAAGAATTTTGCCCTCCTAGGTATCGGGCACATCTCGTCGCCTTCTTCGAGCAGCTCCTCCATTCAAGCGGAAATCCAGGGCGATGAGTCCGTGAGTTCCGGTTACCGCGTGTCGACGCACGAGCGCCGGATCGTCGGTGCGTGAACGTCGGCGGTGTCGTCGTGAGATCCGAGCGGAGGAGGAAAAGGTGCTGAACGAGCGGGAGGAGAAGGAGGTGGAAGAGGAGAAGGAAGAGGTGAAGGAGGTTCGGGAAGGATGGAGAAAGAGAAGGGTAATGTCGGTCACTGGGCCTCTTCTCTCTCGACGACGACTCAACGGTGCCCCGGGGTCATCGAGGAAGGGCACACGTTGCCGGGATCCTCTGCCTCCCTCCTTCACCTTCGATGGAGCATTGTTCCTCTTTGCTTCGCCTAGTCTAGCTAGCGCCTGTTCTCCAGCGTTCTCCGCGTTCCCATCGCCCTCCACGACGAGTATAACATTCGTCCGGGTCAACACGTGCCACTCCATCGCGCTGACGACATCGTCGAGCTTCTCGTCGGCGTGTTGTGCCGCGCGAGCCGTTCTCTTTTCGTCGTCTCCGAATGACCAGATTCACCCGGACGCAACAACGTAACGCGAACGCGTCGGCTTCCGTTCCAGAAACGCGCGACTCGACTTCTCAACTGCACGACTCTCAAACTCACTGACGATAGTTAATTTCGAGTGGTCGGAAGAACATAGGGAGAGCACAACGCGAAATTCGTCGATTGAAAAGCAAGAAGAACGAGTAAATGGACCAATTGAACGAGTGAAATGATAACAATTAATCGATATGACCAATCAATTGCTTTTATTTCTCTACTTACGCTCGGCACTCTGACCCGTTTGTTCGCTCTTTAAATAGCTTCTGCCAAGGAAAATTCGATCCGCAACGTGCGGAAAAAGAGATTATTATTTAATTATCGATCAGAGTGAGAACGACAAGGGGACAATTTACAAGGCACATCTAAACGAAGTATGCTGCGGAACAGCGAATCGCGCTCGTACATTTTCCCTCATCTTTATATATTTTTGTTCGTACTTATATAAGACTTCATTGAGGATCACTCGGCCGCGATACAACCGGGATCGCGCCTTCGACGTTTCGCGCTCCGGGTAGCACCCGGAGAGAGACGCGCGAAAGAAGCGTCGAAAGCGGGCACGCGCGTTTCGCCGCGCGAGTTTCCACGGCGCGAGCACCTACGTTCTCTACGTGGCGTAGGTACCGTAAAGGTGAATAAGCGGGTCGCACGAGGATTGGATTCCTCGCCTACCAGCCCGGGGACCACATTAATTTTCAACACGCGCGCGCGCGCTAGAATTACACGGCGATTCGTTCGGCGGCGCGCGGGGAAAAATAGCGGGAAAGGGGCGCAAACGCGGCGGGCCGCGTCGCGAGCGCAGCCGAGAAAGGCGCGACGCGTCAGTGCATTTTCATCTGGCACTTTCGCATTTTCGCGAGTCGGCAAGATCGATGAGAGATACTGGAATTTGGCACGGTCGGTGGATTTGAAAATTTCTCGGGAAAAGAGTGGAACGGACGAATCGGCGAGCGGACTGGAGCGGACGACTCGTGCGAGCGTGACGTATGTATACGAGCGGGGTGAAACGTCGCCGGGAAGTCGGCCTGTTCTCGTCCATTTGCTTCCACGCGAAATCTTCAGTCGAATTTGCGCGGCAACTTTCGACAATTTCGTTGTCCGTGCGAAGTAGGTATCTTCCGCGAACACATAAATGCTAACGGAAAAAATATTGGAAAAATAGTATGAAGAAGAGAATTTTATAATCAAAGCTATCCCAAGATAGCTTTGCAATCGAGGAACAGGTCGGCATTCTGCAGTAATTCGCTATTCTTTCATTTTATATGTAATTTCCTTCACATGTTTGTTTCATATTTATATTTTAGAAATTAAAATGTGTTGTTAAAACGTTCGCTATGTTTTGTACGTAGTGAAATCTGCTGTGTCTTCAGCAAAATTTACTATGTTCCTTAGCAAAATAAACTTTATTGACAGTCTATTCCTATAGTCTACTGAAGACATAATAAGATTGAAAATTTATTTGAAAAACAAGAATTATAATATTCTCTTGGTGTGAATATTTATCTGGTGTGGAGCCCAACAGCACATTTACATAAGTTTAAATTGTTTTATTAGAATAAATAATTGTTTTTACGAGAAGCTAAGGCTTTGTTTTAAAATTAAAACAAGTGTATATTTTTATATTTGGTGCAAGTGAATATGAAAAAATATTTACTATTTTGACGCATGCAAATAGTTAGAAAGAAATTTGAATATTGTATTTTTTTGTATTTATATTGTATTTTTCATATTTTTTTGCTTCTGGGTGAGGGAGGGGGACATCGTCAGTTGCGATAATTGTCTTGTTTGATTAAATATGTTCAATTAAATATGTAAAAGCAGCATCGGCGACTCTAATCTACCCAGTTTTATATTCACTTACAATGTCGGATATCTCGTTATAACTGGGTAGCTGGAAAATTCCATGTTGTATAAGCGTCGAATTAAAATTCCTCTCGGAGCGGATATCGGCTTACGTTTACGGGATTCTCGCGTCCTCCTGTCGAAACGGTAAAGAGACCTCGATCGTGTTCTTTCGTCCACGACAGTATTTTAATTGGAACAGAACGCGGAAGCGCGACGCCGCCGAGGTCTATTTGTGACGTGAGGTTCCGGGATCGCGCGGCATTCGTCATCTAAACTTTCCCGCTTTCTTTCTCTTGGTCGCCGCGTTGGCGGTGAATTTCTCGGAGGCGAAGAGGAACAGCCGGATGCTGCTGAGAGAGCATCTTTCAGCGTGCATAGGCGGGGTCTCTCTCTCTCTCTCTCTCTCTCTCTCTCTTTCTCTCTCTCGTCGGAGCGATGCCAGGTGCTTTTGGGTCATTCGTTCGGATCGATTGGTCCGCTCTCGTTTATTATTGATACGTCCGCTGCGTATCATGACATCGTGCATTCCGATGTTTGTACAACGGCAATCGGGTAGTTAATGAGCGCGTCGTTACGCGATCCCTGCGCCTGTCGATATCGCCGCGCAATGATTCCCCGTCTCTAATGAAGCCCTTGTACCGAGCCCAGATAGACTTTCCTGATTATCATTACGTGAGACAATCGACGATGAAAACTTTACAATACCTTTGATTACATTAATGAAGTAAATATAATGTATCGAATTAATTGCTAAATTTACATTCTTCGATAATATAATATTCCTTGTTGCATTGAGGCCGCAACAAATTTGCTGAAAATTACATTCAGATTTTTATATTTAATTAATTTTCATATTTAAAGTGACATATTGTTTGGGGTAAATTTTCATCATTTCTCTCGTTCCCTTTTTCGTATTTCCAGTTCGTCATTCTGTGTAATAAATACGAGTGCGACCTGATCAGTTATAAGGGATTCAACGTTGCTGAATCTCGTGATTTAATATATCTGAAGTTGCTGTAAAGTTTACGCACGTCGGTCTGTCGAGGGGATCTCAGTATGAAAAGTTTGTCGATGAACGTGTTTCGTGAGAAAGGGAACGATATTGTTATACGCAAGAAATTATATTTCTGCGTATGATCCTTTCAAATGCGTGTGAAACTTTCAGGTGAAGTACGTAAGAATATTGATTCAAAGTTACTTCATACTTTACGCGAAGCTTTTGAGGCTTTTTGGAAGCAGTTTGTTTTTCTCTTTAGAGTTTTTTATATTTTGTACTCTTTAATTATTTACTAAAAGTTTATCTTTCAAGTCTGTTGAGAAGTCAAAGGCTATTCTTTCATCTCTTCTGATCCGATACGTGTTGCCAGTACCAACACGTCGATTTTATTTCCGCTTCGGCTCGTCGATCTTCCAGTCGTATCCTCACCACGTTCCGTGAATAGTGTTTCACTCGTTTCCCCTATTACTTTTTCCAAAGTTGTACGCGTGCAAGCGAATATGAGAGCGCGACTTACTCGTTCCTCCATGGAGTCGTGAGAAGCAAACGAATCTCCTTGGGAGGATCGCGTCGACGTTCTCGCGGGAGTTTCTTTCGACAATTTCGACTGGATCGCGATATAAGATCGCGAGGATCAGCTTAAACTTGCCTCCCTATCTAGATCTGAACCTAAAAGGGATGGCTTGTACCCATGCCAAGTACATCGCAGCGCACAGTGCGGTTAAATGAAATTTCATGTTTAAAAAAAAGTTACAGTCTCGAAATTTTAACCTTTTTTTTACTTCTTATTTCTAGTGAAATCTAATGAGATTTATAACAACTCTGTCGACAGATTTTTATGTATGCTTCCCTTTTTTCTAATAATAATAATTAATTCTTTCTTTAAAATAAGATATAAAAGAGTGACGTAAAGAAGACACAGAAAAAATGTTTTAATCAAACAATTCCGCTGGATGCAGAAGCTCAAAAATTGTTACTTCAAGAACAATAATTAATAAAAAATTTTATAGCATAATAATAATAATTTAATCTTATTTAATTCAGCAGTTTCTTTCTTTATTAAAATTATTCCAATTATTTTTATTTGTTAAAATAAGATATAATGAGACTGTGTCGATCAGTATGGTTTTTTTCAAACCTGTAATCAGAGTTTGAGCATTCAATTTCATCATTATCTGTGTTTAATGTTAAAAATTAGGTGAGATATGAAATGAGTTATTTGCTGTCTGATTGGAAAAATTTATAAATCCAACTTCGTTATGTTCGATTTAGAAAAAAAGGGGAGCAAAAGATAAAATCTAACTCGACAAAGTCGCTTCAAATTTCACTGGTTTTTGTTAAAAAAAAAAAAGAAAAAAAAAAAAAAGAAAAGCGTCGAAATCGGCTCGAATTTCGAAGCTGCAGTCTTTTGTGAAATATGAAATTTCATTTGACTCCCTGTGTAAGGGAGTCGGCCTCGGGGTATGTACTCGCGGGTAATTTGTCAGGACGCGCGCCTCCTCCCGCCTTTGCGGAAATTTCATATATCGCCGGGCGGAGAAAGATCGATCTCTCGATCCCGGGGACGCGCGCGCGACGCTACCGTACGCCCGCTCTCGGCCACCGCACTCGGAATACCGTCAGGGCCGTAGAATTCTAGAAGGGGGTCATCATACGAGGCCGGCGCCGCGCGAACCAGTGCCAGGACAGTGCACGAGCGTCATTCGGCGCGTACTGAGCGAAAAGCGAAAGAGAGAGAGAGCCGCCGCGCCGTCGGAGGACCAACACGAGAGCGACCGCGCCGTCGTCGTCGCAGTGCCGTCAGCGTCGTCGTTGTCGTCGTAGTCGTAGTCGTAGTAAATACGAGACGCAGTCGTGAGATAGTCTGCGATCGGGTGGTCAAACCGTCTTGCCTCTTCGCGCGGATTTCTTAGTGCGACACGAGACGGGAAGTTCCTGTCGAGGGATCGAATTCCACGGCGAACGACGTGTCACGCGCGCGTCCCCTAGAACGGATACCTACGATCCAGGTAAGAGAATTCCGTACAGAAAAGGAAAGGAAAGGAAGATAAAAATTGCCGCGCGACATACATGCACGGGATATCGAGACCAATTGAATCAGATCTAGGCAGGGAGGCAAGTTTAAGTTGATCCTCGCGATTTCATATCGCGATCTTGTCGAAATTGTCGAAAGAAATTGTCTCCCGTGAGATCGTCGACGCGATTTTCCCAAAGAGATTCGCTCGCTCTCCATGGAGGAGCGAGCAAGTCGCGACTGCCGCGAGGAATTTCGTAAAAAAAGAAAATAGGAGTAAGGGAAACGGATCGCGCTCGTGATTACGCGCGATTCCGCTTGAAAATTTACGAGTCGCGCGTCGACTCGCGCGATGGACCGGCGTGTCGGTTTTCCCGAGCGCGAGAAATGTCGGTGAATCGGTAACTTTCGAGCCTGGAGATTTATCTCCGACACGCGCGAATCTTTCTCTCTCGTCGTGAGCGGCCGCTGATTTATTTATGAGCGCGGAGAGAAATTCTTTCTCCCCGGTAGGATACTTTCGAGTCCGTGCGATTAGGATGAGGCTTACGCGGATCCATACTGCCCGGTAGAAGGTAGTACCGTGGAAATTCCGAAGAAACTTTATCCTTCTTAAATGGCCGGCATTAAATCATGCCGCGCAGCGGCGGCGGTGATGGTGGAGCGAGGTCTCGATATTCAAACTCGCCCCGATACTCTTTCGCGGCGGGGAGAAGTTTGTGATCGTTACTTCGCGGAATATATTCCATTTTCGAGCTGCGCGAACCCGCCAAGTTAAATCGACAGTGAACTCCCCTCCGTGCGTCTTTTAATGCTTATTAAATGGCGGACTTAAATTGCGTGCATATCGAGACGCGGTTTCCGCGCTCGCACCCGCGCCAATCCGCTTCAGTGAAGAGTGATGGGAGAACTTGTCGGAATGACGATTATGCGCCACTCGCGCATTTCTCTCTGCACTTTTACAAACAGAAATCTCCGCGCGGACAGTCTCGCACTCAACAAATTGTTTGGCCGGTCCACGTAGAATTTTAAGTGTCGCGGCTCCTCGTTGTTTCTTGTATCCACTGGAAAGCGCTTTGTAGAATTTTCGTCATAACTGCGAGGCAGGTATTTTTTTGAATGTGACTATTCCGTATGCTTCCTGCTTTGCGAATAAAGTAAACATCGAACATCCTCAGTTACAAGTATAGCGTTTCAGGGAAGAATACACTGTTTGTACTTTAGAGAGCACAGTTAGAGATATCAGTGTTTTTTTCATTGGCGTCTAGGTGTCGGTACTTTTGCCTCACGCAAAAACATGCACGATCGGCGATCGCGATTTTCATCCTTGTTGCTTGCCGCGGAAATTCGCTCGCTTACATACACATAAATTACATCCACTGCGCCTCCCCGCCGCGTAATCTTCTTATACGCAGCTTTGCCCCGCACAATCGCGCTGGATATGGAAGCAAAATACACACGTTCCACTTTCGAAAACACGTCGCAGCGCGAGTTTTCCTTCCGCACGCGTCTCTCGCTTGGTCACCTCTGTCGGCTCGTCGTTGGCGAAATTTTCGACTTAAATACACTTTGAATATTTGCGCGACCGCACGCGGAGCTGTGTTTAAACACTTGATAAAGGTTGCCAGTAATTAATTACTGTTTTTAATTAATTAGCGTGTTTAACTGTATTACTTTTTTAACATTTTGTACATTCTTTTGTTCGTTTTTTTGCGTGTTTCTGTCAATCCGGCTGATAAAGCAATATTATTATTATTAATTAACGATTAACGTGAGATAATTCGATTGGAGACCGTTCAATTGATGATTGATTTCAACGAATTCAATTAAAGACCGTTAGGTTGACGATTGACACGGGCGAAGAGCATTGAAAGTTTTTTAATTAATAGCTAAACTAAGAGATAGATAGAGAGAGAGAGAGAGAGAGAGAGAGAGAGAGAGAGAGAGAGAGAGAGAGAGTGAGTAAATTTGATTAAGGGTCACTTAATTGACGATTGAACTTAGCAGATTGGATTAAAGACCGTTTAATTGACGATTGATACAAGCGAAATTAAACGATTCAATTCGAAGGTTGTTTGGTGACGCAAAGCAATATGATAACTGTGAAGATATTTGTTGTATCTTACAAAAATGTTTGGCTAATGTAATAAAATAGGTAGATAGGATACCATCCACAAGACCAGTTGTAACCTTGAGCGACTGAACGCTCGTCGGTCGAATCGATTGAATTTGCTCATATTAATCGTCAATTAAGTGGCCCTCAATTAAATTTGCCAAGCTTCACCGTTAATTGAACATTTCCATTGGTTTTACTGGAATCAATTAGTCGGGAATTGACATATATTTGTTCAAATCAGTTGTCAAATTGTAAAGAACTCGATAGATAGTTTTGCAATCCCTGCACTCGACTACCGCGCCGATCAGTTAATTTCCAGCCTGTGTGTGCTTTCTAAACGCTCATCGAGAATGCGATTCTCATGTAAGAAGCGCGCGTGCTCGCGGTTTTCCCGAACCGCGCCCTGCTCGCTGCGCTTTGCGTGCAGTGATTTGCGCAGGATGCACCGCTAAGAATTTTCAAACGACTCTCTCTCTCTCTCTCTCTCTCTCTCTTTCTCTCTCTATCTATCTTTCGCGCGGCATAGCGGCATCTTCGCCTCGAATCTACGGGAACCGCCGCGGCTGTGTTTAACGCGTAGCACCGCTTGTTGTATAACGTTCTCTATTTGTGCGATACCCTTGTAAGAGCGCGAACACACGGACGTGAAAGCAGTCTCTCTTTCTCTCTTTTTTCTCTCTCTCTCTCTCTCTCTCTCTCTCTCTCTCTCTTCCTTTTTCGCGCGTGCCCGTTACGCCGCGTTCGGAGGGACTTTCGACCGAAGGAAATAGAGGGAAAGAGAGCCTCTCGGTCGACAGGCCGACGTCGATTTTAATAACGTTCCGCGTGTGCAAATCGAATGATGCGCGCCTATTGGAGTCGAGGGATCGCGGGAGACTCAAAAGGCGTCGCGATGCAATTCGCCGAGGACGAGAGAGGTTCGGCAGTCTCCTATCGGAGGCTTCATAGATTCGCGCGAACCAGCACGTTTGCTCTCAATTTTCCCTCGTATGTGTGTTTGTTGTTCTCTTTCATTTCTCGCCTGTTGAAACATTCATAAGTAATGCGTACGGCTCGCGCCGGCGAAAGGCGATATGATCGTCTGAGCGACGGAGCGTCGAAATTTCAAAACCTGCACGGCGAGCGGGAATTTTTCGACGTGTCTGAGCTCTCCCGCAATCCGGCACTTTGTAGTCGCCTGGCTGACAACGCTCGTCGCGCCGCTTTCAGGAACACAAAGAATTTCCAATAGCGTTTCACGAGAAAAACAGCGGCGCACTCGTAACTTCCGTCAAGAGAGGACGAGAGAGTGATAGAGAAAGAGAGAGGGAGGGAGGGAGAGAGAGAGAGAGAGAGAGAGAGAGAGGGGTAGAGACGCGATCTATACCCTTTTATTTTCTCCTTTTCTTTTTTGCACTCACTCACACGCGCGCACTCATTCGCATGCGCCCACACGCAAACCGTTTACGAATATTAAATTTTCAGATACAATTCGTTGCCTCCTTTGAACTGCGTTTGAATTGAGGCTGAAATAGAGAAATTGCCCTTTCCATATATCTCGGTCGTTCCGTGTGCCGACTTATAAAGCGCGCGCGCGCGCGATATTAAAAGCAATATGCGACGTTTTTATTATTCCACATCGATGTGAGCGCACTGTGTGATTTTTATGTTAACTCGCCTTTTCCTTTCCTTTTCGCCCTTTCTTTTTAACTACGTCGCACCGCGGCGAGTTCAGTGCACACGGAACTCTGAGAGAGTTTCCACTTTGAAGGGAAACGTCGAAAGGTAGCGCGCGAAATATTCTCTCCGATATTACGATTACATCCGATGCTCTTTTCGGAGTTCAGTTCCGGGTCAGGTGTTCGCGGTATCTGTACCAATTCGCGCGTGCCAATTAACGCGATGCCAACGTCAGCGTCATTGTTCTTCCGCTGTCCGCGTTCTTTTGTTTTTTCACCTTTTCACCTAAAGTTTTGTTATTTCTGCTTTGTTTCGTCCTCTTGTGAAACGTTGCCTTCGCCCGTAGACATTTCGCAGAACGCGGCCTGTCGTGTCCAGGGCGTTTAATGTGGGAAAAAAAACATTCATCGCGCCACGTACACGTGCAATATGGTGCACCGGAGTCTGTCTGTCTGTCGATTTTTCGAGTCGTTCGCAAGCAGAGTGACGCGACGTGACGCGACGCGACGCGACGCGACGTGATGCGACACGATGCGACGCGATGTTGCAGAACACCGCGCCGTGATACGTTTTCCACGACGTTTTCGGGGAGAAAAAAAAGGTAGAAAAAGGGTGGCGGGCGAATGAGAATTTCCCTGGCATTTCCTCCCGCGGGAGAGGAAGCGCCCGCCGGCGGAAATCCATGGATCGTCGGTTTCACGTCGGAACGACGACGGCGCGCGCGTCCGTAGGAAAAGCACCAGTCGCCTGTGATTTTTATCTCATAGCGGAAAAAGTTCGCCTCCCTCTCGCCCTTTTTCCCCGCCACGTTAACTCACGTTCGTCCCTATTTTGTATTCGCGGCTTTGGCTCCCGTCACGGGGATTACGCGAAGGGTAACGCGAGGGTAAAACGCGCGCTCGCTCTCGGTGAAAAAGGCCATTACACGTTGCTTGAATACGTCATGCGAATTAGCCGTAATTATGCAAGGATGATCGAACTCATCGTACGAAGTACGTTTCGAGAGAAATAAAGGTGAACATTGAATTGGATGATTTTCAAACAGTATTATCGATCATATCTAATCACACTTTTCTATTTCACTCAACGTCACATTACATCGTTCTTATATACAATCCAAACTCTGTCTTTCCCTTCGGCTGACATTTATCTCTTTGTCTTTCCTCTTCCTAACCGATCTCTTCGCTTCCGTTCTCTTTATTGCCTCTCTTTATCCTCTT